AAATTTTTTTTTTTTTTTTTTTTTTTATCTAATAAAAGATATTATATTATATATATATATATATATAGGCACGTAACGTCGTTACGTGATCAATAATATTACTTAATTGTTGTACCTACACAATCTTTAACGTAGTTTACTATATAATATTTTCATTAAAATTATTATTATTATATTATTATATAATTGATATTATAGTCCAATAAATGTATGTAGTTGATCACAAACGCTTGTATTTGTTGTTTTTTTTTTTTTTTTTTTTATCGACTAAATAACACGCTCCAATTATCAACATTACGGGTAAATTCTGGTAGCGGATTGTGCCTAGTTAGTGCATCGAGGAGGTTGTTTTGCATTTCCTTGTAGTTTTCTTAATAGTGTGAAAACTACCCTGAGAAAAACGATAATTTGTTTTATTGTAATTCAATGTAATACTATTGTAGATGTTTAAAATCTTTACTGAACGCTTATAATTAGCATTTTCTAGTGCGGTATAATTTTCAAAATATTCCGGTGTTTTTTAAGTTATTTATTTTTTTGGTTTTATATAAATAATTCAAATTTACGATAAAATTTTTTATCAAGCCTACGTACAATATTATAAAATTGTATTTTGTAGCCGATAATATAGGTATAGGTACAATATTTTTTTTAATTCAAATTTATCAATAAATGTTTATTCAAACTTCGCTCAGAATCACTTTTCGCGTGCAAGGATTTATCGTCGCATACATATGTAAACTAAATAATTATCCTATGTGTATCCTGTCTTCCCAATTTCCCGTCTAAAAGGTAATAAGCAGTATTACCTGCAGTATCGTATATAAAAAAGGACGTTGTACTAAACGCCCACAATAGACTTGCTTTTTAAATATTGTTTATGTTATGGTTATCAAAATAACACAATTTTCAATTGAAATAATAGCCACAACTAAATTAATTAAAACAAAAAAAATTAAACCCCTAGAAAATATAAGAAAAACATTTCTATAAACGAATTTTTAAAGTAATACTTTATCAACAGTCCCGGGTCAGTGGGTGCCTACTATCATTATTTTTATCGTCACGAGATTTGTTCGAAAACACGTTCACGCACCATTTCCAACAGCCATAATAATATTTGTACGCACATTGGTCCCAGTGGTCATTGATATAAATATATATTATAAAAACCTGTGTATTTATCACTATTATTGTCACAGAAAACTTTGGAATAATTTTTTTTTCTCCGGGGCCACAAAACGTGGATGATAATATAATACGCATACAAAACGCATACAATTTCCTATGTATCTGAAATTTAATTTACATGCAATTTGATGATCAATATTTTTGTACAGAGTTATTTTTATTATTATTTTTTTTTTTAAATAAAAAATAAAAACGCATTGTGTATACATCAATTTATGTACTTGCATTTTTCAATTTGATTTTACTTACAACTAAACCAAAAATAATGAATAGTGTATGTAAGGATAAAGGATAAAAATAAAATATTAGAAATATAAATAGCTAGATAACAGAATTATCTTCATTCGTTTGTTTTTCGTTTGTATTTTTTATCCCGTCTTTTATGCTCAACTCCTTCCCGAAATTTACAGCTTTGAAAGTTAGGTGCTGAAATATATCCCCAGCTACCTACTTGCCTTTGTAAAAAAAAAAATTATTTTGTCTTGTTCGTCTGTTTACAACTACATATTATAACCAATTTTACCACTATGGTCTATAGTCGTAAGAAATTTTGGTTTGCCAGTAAAAAACCAAATTCATTATTATAGTAGAACGAAAGGGCAAGTGTTAGCACCCTGATTTAAATGTTATGTTTTCGGCAAACATTTTTTATAAGTTATTTTTTAATAAGGGGTAAATAGTTTATTTTGGTAGATTAAAATAATTTAAAAACAAATATGTACACATAATATTATGTTCTCAAACTTTTCATAAATAATTATCTAACACACATACTTATTAAAATAATAATATCTTATTATGTGTATTATTATAATAGTTCTATTACTAACATATTCAAATGTTGTAATAATTAATAGTATCGTATTTATTAAAATTTAGGAAATTAGAGAGAATAAGTTAAAAACCAAAATGTATTTTCACTCAACCCGTGTTAAATATTTAGATTATTCGTATAGCAATAGGATTGATTCTCATTACAAACGTATAAATTATTTTAAAACAAATAAAAACTATAATGTACTATAAGTATTATTAATTTGTGTACGTGAATACAATGAGGGGGCGGTTAGAAATGAAGGATTAGATCGGTTTGATAAAGGCTAATCACCTTTGGGCGCGTTCGGTTAATACATGCAATCAAAATGTTTGCGCCTTGTATAGCTAAGATAGGCAATATAGTTGATTTTACGCCGTTTCAGTTATAGACAGGCAACTAAACTGCCGAACTACTTCTCGCACCAGCTGGACGACGACGACGACGCGTATTTCCGGACCGCATATAAAACAAAGCGTACATTGTGCTGTGTATGCGAAGTGTCAGTGACAAATTGTGCAATGGTTATACTGTTTGTCAGAATTAGGAAATTGTAATAATGAATAGTGTCTAGGTAGCATTTAAGAAGGAAGATAAATTATTAATATTGTACGATTATAATAGCATTAGAAAGAAAAAAGGAAGGAAAGAGTCCGTGCTACGACGTTGCCGGACTACGTTCTTTAGTTTTAATAAAGTTTATTTAATGAATTATTTTGTTTATTTTTTAGTTTGTGTTTTATACGTTTTAGTGTATGCTCTCGTTTTGTTTTTGAGTAGCCACAATATTTTCTCTTTTATTCTGAGTCCGATCTGAAACCGGTTAATTCGTGATTTTTGAGGATAAAGTCTAAGTAATTAAGTAGTCTAAACCATCTCTGGAGTACCGAACTGAAACCGGTTAATTCATAGTCTTTTGGTCACTCCAGTTTGTATTTGAGCAATATCCTTGTTAAAGTGATATACGACAATTGTTAGAGAATCTTGTGGAAATCCTGTTCTCCGATTGGATCTAATCCTAACGAGATGACAATTTCATTATCAGTTAGTAAAAAGTGTTTTGTTTTATTCATATTATTTTATTATATATTTATATTATGCATTAAATTATTTTTGTTTTTAAAAAATTGAAAATGATATATCCAAAGTCCTACGTAATTGAAGTAGTTGAAGAAATTGGCAATACAGTTCAGATTAGGTAAAATACTACATCTATGGAAGATATCTGTTACCTATATGATAACTATTTTAATTTTTAAAAACTGATCAATAACACTAAATTATATTATTTGTTGATATGAATAATTTATTATTATTTTTTTTTTTTTAATTATAACAGACAATAAAAACAAAGTATTGTGTTGTATTCATCAAGATAGATTATGAGGCCAAAAATAATTATATATGAATGTCATATGTATCTCAAATTGTATAATTTATTTATTTCCATCTAATGAGTATTTTGAATGTTTAAATTTTATATGTAGTTCATACTTATGGAATAATGTATTTAATTATTAAATAATATTTTATCCTGAAATAATAATTTGATATTAAATTTAATATGTACAAAACTTACCTACCTAAACAATTAATAATTTCTTTCATAAATGTTATATTTGACCTAATATGAATAGTATTTTAATAAAACACAAAACACTTTTTGGCTTTCACAAACTGAAACATTTAAAAATCATAACTGATAACTGATAATTAAATTGTTATCTTATTGGGATTAGAGCCAATCGGAGAACAGGATTTCCATAGGGTACTCTAACAATGTACCTACGCTTTACTTGGATACATGCGTCCAGGGCACCAAATTAATGAATGATAATACTCCCAAAATAAATTGGATAGAGCGTTAACCTTTAACCAGCATCTCTAAGACATTAAGAACTAATTTAAAACTAGAATTAATATTATTAGTAAATAAACAAGCTGGGGTTACCAAGCTAATGTCCTCCGCACACCAGCCTTGTAAAGTATTGTGCCCCAATATGGGGGATATGTATACAATGTGTACATACAAAAAAAGGTTGTTACTCAACTGAATAACACTATGAAAGTTATAACTGGATGTGTCTAGTCATTCAAGCTGCAATAATTCCCAATCGTTTCGTATATGACCCAATTCAAAAGACACCTTGCAATCATTAAAATTGTACAGAAATTCAATAGTGCAAAGGACTTCCCAGTAAATAACGACATAAACAACGGACGTAATAAAATAATAAAATCGGTATACCCGATTTTAATGCACCAAGTGACTCACTATAATTATTTTTAACCAAATCACAATAAAACATGATACAATTTAAAATCGGAACAGCCTGTAGTGAGCCGGGGACTGGTTAACGCAACTCAAAACCATATTATATTGATAAAGTCACCTGTGATGCACTTCTCTTTTGTGTTTGATGGATTTAAGAATTTGAAAAAAATACTGATTTATTATTGAGACTCGGGCGTAGGATCCGTAGATCGAACATACTAGAGAACGATTCCAACGGTCGTTCGGTCTTTCAAACAAACTAAGTCTAGTCAAAGTCTTGTCCAAGTCTAACAACATACTATAGCGGCACGTTATGTATACACGATTAATTTCAAGGGGTGCCGCGCAACGCGGACCTAACAGGACCTCCGAGAGAAAACGCGCGTTCAAAAACCAAAAGCGGTTCCCATCCAGGCTCATGCAAGTCATGTCGCCTTTACCCAGGACGGCCGTGTCTTACAACAACTATCAAATAAATAAAACATTTTCTAAAACAAAAACAACCATCGCCTATTATAATGACCCCGAACACCGATTACAATATAACAAGAGTAAAAACTTATTAAAATTGTAAGTGTAAAATTAACTAAATCGAATATTAATGAGTATAAAAAACACGGGGGCTCCGTTTAGGAGACCCGACGGAAAATAGTAGTAATTCCAGATTACCGCAAGCCAGTTCCGGGTAGAGTAGTTGTTTACGTTGTTAACGTTAATTTTTATTATTAATTATTTTTAAAATGTAATAACGTTGTAGTAAAACCAATACTTCGGTTCGCTCCGCTCATAATCCAAAACGTGTAGTTTTAGTTGGCGTTTTTCAATTATTATGTTTTATGCGTATAGTTTTGGACGTATAGTATGTTACGTATCATAATAATGTACTGTACGGCGTACTGTATATTACAGTCGGCACAGCTGCTGGTGTACATAAAGTTGCATTACGTGTATATAATATTTGTTTAACAAATGATTAGATTTAGTTGAAAAATTAATAACAATCGTTCGTTATCGACATTTTTTGCTGCGTTGCAATTATTATAATAACAATATTGTGGGTACCAGCGATTTATAGTCGTTTTGTAATTTATAGCAAACCAGTGCGCCACCTGCTGGGTAACTGATAAGAATATTTTATACAAAATAATTTAATGTAGGTAGGTAATACAACGAACGCGTATGTGTAGACCGTTATAGATTTTATACAATAATAGTAGTACATAAAATGTCACTTTAGTAAAACAAATAAAATATATTAAAGCGTTTGTGTTTTTTTTTTTTTTCGTAAATGTTTGCCCTTTTCGCGTCAATATAATATTACAGGCACCTATGTATTCGTCGTAATTTCTAGGTATGTATTATCGTATATAACTAAATATTATTAAACATACCAATTAACCAATTATTGTTATACATTAGTTGACTAATAGTATTTACCATTTTTAATTATATTGACTTGCTGAATATCGATGTAAAAACTCAATATTATGCGTTTTAGTGTTTATGTCGTTCGATGAAGTATAATTGTATTTTTGCAGCGAGGAGACTATTGCAATAGATTGTTCAATCGAAAACGTTTTCCGTAACAAAATAGAATATCGAAAAACATTAACTATAAAACAAATATAATACAAATGTCGAGAAGTCAATTTCGCACGGAAGTTGTATGATTTATAGCATTCATTTTAAATCGAATATAGTACCTATTCTAAAAAACAGAATCATTTTAATGTGACAGCGGGTCAAATCGACCAGCCTCCTCTCCAAAGCGTCGTATAATGTTCTTGAAAATTCGTATATTTATTTGTAATGAACTCGGTCGGTCGCTTTTCGAAAAGAACTTCGCCCAAACGAATAAGTTTATACAGTTAACAGTAAAGCTTTAAGAATCAAATATAATATTGAAAGTTAAAAAAATGATTTTTCACTAATCGACCAATACGATAACATACCTGTATAGGTACACAAGTTTTAAATTTGCTTACCAACTCTAAGTAGGTAATATTTTTTAGTAAATTCTTTATTCGGGCGGTCATCGTTTCTGCCAAAAATCTTGATTTTCATTTCCGCCAAATTTATTTCTATCTACCTATCTAAATTATAGTTTGAGCAGTGGTGGATATCAAAAGGGAGCAATTGATGGATCGCCCGTCCCCCCTTGGGTTTATTGTCACCATTATATATTATTATCTACAACTTAATATTTAAGAATTTATATAGGTATATAAGAAACTTTAGAAATTTACTATATCCCCCCCCCCGCAAGATGAAGGTCTGATATAATCACTAGAAGGAATAAATCCCATAACTTCTGTAGATTTGAAAATCATCTCCTCCCCCTCAGAACTAGGATATATTCACCACTGAGATTGAGAACCATTTAGAGTTGCTCAGGGAATATTTGTTTAGACCGATTTGTATTACGATCAATTCAATATGAATTGTAATTTGAATTCTAATTGATAAAAATGTCGTGATCACAAAAGTGTCTCTGTGTAAAAATTATGTAAAAATACAACAATCAACTTTTTTATTTTTCATTCTATTTAGTAGTCTAATTTAGATCATCTATTTAGTGTTATATACAGTGAAGTTAGATTAAAAATAATAATTATTTACATTTCGTACATTTGTAGTTGTCATTTATACAGTTTATATGCCAAGTCAAATCATATTAGTTATTAAAAAATAATTGTATTATTTATATTATAATTGGTAATGAAAATTGTGGAATATTCCGCATACGTTTGTTAGTTTTACAGCAGAGTCTTTGTAATTTAGATTCCCAGTGTAGCGAGAGACTATTGGTTTTACAATACTGTTTATTTTTTTTTTGTTTTACAATGCTGTTTATTTCTTCCTTTTTTTAGATTCCGAGCGTAACGATGAAGCTATTGGTTTTACTAAGATGTTTGTTTTATTTTTTTCTTTGTTCTAGTCTATGGACACGTCTTTTTCTATTAAACTTGCTCCGATTTTTAGCAACTTTTCTGAAAGTTCAAGTTGTCTTGATTGTATTTTAAACAAGTATTTTTTTGATTTTTGATGCCATTTTTTAAATAAAAGCACTTAAGTGGGAAAAACGTACAATTTCACGATTTCATTATTTTACAAAAACACGGACAACGTTTTCTACTAAAAAAAATGATTTAATCGAAAAATCACATGACACCTTTGTTGTTGCCTCTTTGATTTAATTTCTTACGGTATCATTACCAAAACTTTTAAGCTATTTTTGAGCTTTTAAAGAATTTTAATTTTTGGGAGTTTTTTGTTGTAATTCGGTTATAAATACGTAAATATATACGTAGAGACTTGAAACATGGTAATAATACTTGCATTAGACTTACCTAAACGTGGTCAAATTTTTAACATCATCAGACTACTTTTTTTTTTTTTTTAATAAGCATTTTGAAATCAAATTTAAACGAAAATCGCAAAAAAAATTACGACACTTCAAATTATATAATACCGAACTGCGCTTGGAATCGTCTTTTGTCAGCAATCGTTTATCGTTGCTTACAAATATAAATGAAATAACTTTATGTATCCTACCTTCCCAGCTTCTCACCTACAACAGTGGCCGCTCCCGTCCCCAGTATCAGCTCTTTTTTTTAACCTGACATTTTGCACTTGCGATATTATTGAGCACACGACGTTTTTTACTACGATATTATTGCCACAACATTTTGACAGGATATCCAAATGGTAAAAAAAAAATTGTTATACCAATGTATGTAATTTTATTTATTTATCATACATTCATACGACATGTGTAAAACAATTTATAAATAAATAGATAATTTAAAAAAATTGAAATTAAATATTTGATATGCTTGGTAAATATAAATCAATAAAAAATAAATTAATATTTAGTATTTTAGTGTGATGAATGAGCTTGATAATATGTTCAAATCGTAGCTTTAGTTTGGAAATAGCTATATTCTCATCTCCTTATCAACGTTTACTATTGATTGGATTAGATCACGATTAGATATATTCCATAATGTATTCATCCTGATTTAAAATTCAAAGATAGACTAAACAAACACAATAAAACGATCACTTTTGTACCCTTTGGTAGTCAATAGACGGACATAACTAAATAAATATGACATACGCACAGATAATTTAACGGCGATGGTCGATGAATATTGATACGATTCGAGAAATAATAATAATGGGTAGGTAATAAAAATAAAACTTCATATGGTCGCGTGTCAGGCACGTAGCCAAACCATTTCTACTAGAGAGGACCAATAATTGTTGGCCCTTTATCATTTTCCATAATTTTTCCCAATGAAATACTTGTAGGGGGCTTCTCCCTCTCTCACCCTTAGGCGGTATGTCATACAAAGAATCTTATTAATTTATAATTTACTTTTAGTTGGTAGTCGGAAAAAATTGTTTTTTCACTACAAGTACACCCATTACAATAATAAAAAAGTACCTGATTAAAAAAAAAAATACAGAATTACCTATATATTACCTATTTTTTTTTCTAATGTTTCCATACTATGAAAAATAAATCTACCAGCATATTTAGAATATAAGCTAATTAAATATAATATACCTATACCTTTTTAGATTTAGAGCGTAGCGAGAGATCTATTGGTTTTACTGTGATCTTTGTTTAGTATTTTTTTTTTCTGTATGTGAACAACTTTTCTATCAGAAAATTTTCTCCGAAATATAGACTGTAGACTCTTTCTGATAGATCATTTTTTTCCCGTTGATACATTGAGGAGGTCATTTTTTGATTTTCCAAGGGGTTTTCGAAATAATATGAAAAAACCGAAAGAAAATTATAGGTAAAACGACAAATATTTATGACACGCCTCGGCGTTATCGTTTCAATTGTTTTCATCATTAAGTTTTCTACCAGAAATATTACTAAAATCGAAAAATGACAAAAGATCAATTTTTTCCCCCCTATAATATTTCGTGTCTGACAGAGTAGGTCGTTTTTTTGATATCAGAAGTATTTTCCATGATAATTGGGAAAAACCAAAAATTAAATTAAATTAATTAAATTGGTTAATATTTACGGCAACGTAGCGTCCCAGTTTAATTATTTTAATATGTTCAACTTATGTTTTCTATCTAACGGGTAATATCACAAAAATGTGTTTGCGTATTTTCAATAGTACTCAAGCCTCGTTAGTCGTTAGTTGTATGAACTTGATTATTGTGCCAAAATTTACAATGAAAAATTTGCTACAGCTATTTAGCTAATATGTATGTATAATAAATACCTATGGGTTACTCGTGTCATTAAGGTAACTCATCAATTAACAAAAAAAAATTCAATTTTTTAATACCGAAATATTACCAAATCAAGTGTGAGTTTAGAAGTTTAATATTCATTAGATGATAGTTTCGTTTTCCCCGTATATTGGAAATGGTGATTTTCTATGACATTATATTAAAATGAACTTGTGGTTTACAAAAAAATGCACGATGGTGAAGATTACCATCTATAACCTTAACCTTCCTATCCCATATATAATATCTATACATTCGGTTTACTTTAGAATTTTAACTCAACTCTCGAACAATATATGTCTATTAGCCGTATTAGAGAATTACTATTACACACGTTCACGCATACTCTGCCCTTCGAATGACAAATAATATTAAAATTAAATATGTGAGTACCTATATATAGGTATAGGTACATTTGTATTCAGACCACCGCGTCATACGCTTGATTAGGTACTTATATCGAATAGTTAGTCATCGATACGTCGCTGCGGTGTGTTTGGCTCTTCCCCAAAACACGAAACATATTTTTTAAAAACGAAAATACATTTTTATATTATAATATTGTCACGAAGCTATAGGTACCCCAACTACAAAAGTGTTAAGTTAGATAATTAATAAATTTAAAATACGAAAACAAAAAGAGCTGATACTAGGGACGGGTGCGGCCACTGATGTAGGTGGATAGTGGGGAAGATGAAATACATAAAGTTGTTTATTTTATACCTGTAAGTTTTAACCAAGATAAACCATTGATAACGAAAAACAATTCGGAGCGGAGTTCGGTCATATATGTTTTGAAAGGCCGTGATATTTACGATTTTCGCTAAAATTTGATATTAAAATTATTATAAAAAAAATGCTGTTAAAATTTTTTTTTTTTGACCACTAATTACGATTTATAATGAACTTCCTATCAAATTTTCAAGCATTTCTGTTAAGCCTAACACTTTATCTACAGAGTACATAACAAATAAAAATTACGTAAAAAACTCGCAAAATTAAAATGCATATAAATACAGAGCTCAAAAATATCTCAAATGTACTGAAAGTTTTACCACGTCTAGAAAAAATAAATATAGGTTTTTATCGACATTTTAAATATCTAAGAATATTTTAAACTGAGTTATATTAAAAAAGACGGACATACTTCGCACAATGGGTGCAGCTACTGTTGTTGGTGAGAGGTAGTAGGATATAAAGGAGAAATTAATTTGTATCTGTAAGCAACGATTGATAACTAAAAAACGGTTCTGAGCAGATTTCAGTTGATAATGATGCTTTTTCAACAATATTTATGTCATATTAAGAATACAAAAATTAAATAGGAATCATATATTTCCTTAAATACTATTTGTTTAATATTGTACCGATTTTCCCGTTTTTCCTGATTTCTCCATGTTTTTCACATTTACTGGGAAAACTCTTGGGAAAATCAAAAATGACCTCCCCTAAAGTACCTCCCTAGGGAAATTTTCTTTTAGAAACATTGCTATTATTAAAGTTGAAACAAAATTGTTGGTAGAAAAGTTGTGCACAGAAAAAAAGAAGGCCGTAATATATTTTAACTAAAACTTACATTTCTTGTATTTTCCCCGTTTCCATATTTTATCGTTACTTACACATACATTAAATTACCTATAACAGTGGCTGCACCCGATCTCATTATCCTAGGACGTCTTTTTTCAACTTTTTTTTCTTATACACAGATACACTGTCTGTATTTTGTTCTGCTTGTTAATTATGAAATACATGGATAAATGTATTAATTAATTTATGGCCGATACCATAAAGAAAAATAACTGAGTATTTTTGGAGATGCTAAACACCTCATAGCACCCTCCTGGTTGTGCCTATGCTGAGTTCGTTCCACCTTATAATAACGACTATAGTTTCACATATTTTTTTCTCGGAGTTCTTACTTTAAGCTAACAGTATTATTAATCACATTACTTTTTTAATTTCGCGTCATGTTTTTAAGTACAATGCTTATGTACCTAGCATTAAGTTCTGATGTCATTTATTTGTAATATTTATTATTATCTACTGTCATGTCATGTTTATTTTGAATTTTTTTTTTTTTTTATAATGTATGTTATTTGTTATTTATGCTGTTACTGTTCTAAATATTTTTGTCATACAATTTTTACCTACACTTATTATTGTTCTAAAAGGTACCTTTACTCGTTATAAATCATATATAGTACAATAATTAACATTACCAGCGAACCGCTTTTAAAAGGGATTCGGTGAAACGATACTGAAACGTAATATTGGTTTACAAAACGTTCTATCCTTCTTCATAATAGTGAAGTCAATATGTTATAAGTTATGACTGACATGCGATGAGATGACCTGACCACGTGTTGTTTGAATATTATTTCAATATTCACCACACGGAGTCGACTATTTTTAACTCACCGTCGACGTGGGCGTAGTGTAATCTAGTTATTTTAGATTCTGAACAAGGAACGTTTTGGTTTTACTATGTGTGTATTATTTTAGATTTGGAGAATAGCATTGATATGTCTATCTTTTTATCATTATCAAACGAAAAACGATTCTGGGCGCGAAGTTTGGTCATTCATGTTATAAAATGCTAAAACTTTTAGGATTTTCGTCAAAATTGAAATCAAGCTTCTAAAAGGCTGTCCCGGTCCGAGAGGCATTTATCCATTCGCACTGTCCTAAAGAAAACGGCTACGGCATTAATTTAGTCAATTACAATTTTATTCAACTAGTTTTCTTCTATTGTTTTTTATAAGGCTTCAAAGTCAGTCACCTTAGCCTGTTAACTGTACCGTAACGCTACATGTTTTCTACCTAGCTAGTACCTACAGTTAATTACTAAATTTCTACATAATTTAATTTCAATTTATCAATTAAATAATAAATCTTATTGTTGTGAAAGTACCTATTGTAATAATTCTTACATTAATATAGATCTTAAGTCTATGGTAACAATTTATTTAGACATACAAGCCAAGACCTAATTATACATTGACTGGTTTATAAATATAATTTACGTATGATCACATTAATTTATTATAGGTAAAAGACCTACACACTATGATATATGATGTATGTCATCTAATAATTGTAATAAAACCATAATTAAAACATTTTATGAATGAAATAAATAAGTATAATTGTATTATTAATTATACAAAACTGTGTGTTGACTCAGAATTTATCGCTGGTAATATTTTTATTAAACTCATTTTTAGTATACAAATACATATTATATTATATTTTTGAACGATTGCAATTGAGTTTTAAAAATTAGATAGGCAACAAACAAATTGAAATATATCAATACAATTTTAGGAGCTGATAGGCAACGTAGGTACAAAAATGGGAACCAGAAATGGGCTTTCTAATCAAATATTGCTAGCGGAACGTACATAATATTTATCTCGATCTGAATGTCAAAGCAATCTTACATCACAGCATTAATTTATGTAAATTAAAATTTCGGAGTTGTGAATATCGTAACAGTTATTAAGTAATATCAATTTTAAATTAATTACATAGTAATAAAGTACCTATCGGAGCAGTTAAATTCGTAACATATTACGTTCGAAGTAATAATTATACTCAGTATATCATTCAGTCGGAGTAGTCAATTATCGTAGTTGTTGTAGCAACCCGAATTCAAAAGAACAATTTTTAATCGTCAATTCAAGCCGTTTTTTTCGTCACTTGGTTGAAAATGTACCCACAGTTCAAAATTAAATTAGCAAATAAATATTCATAGTTGTGTTAAAAATGGCAATCCCTCACATTGGCTTTATACCGAAAATCCAATGGGGAATTCATCAGACCATTAACCTCGGTTTCCCTGAGTATGTCAATGTTTGTAGTCAAGTACCTACCTACTATGATACATAAACCCAGTACTCTTGATTTGGGGGGACGCGGGAGAACTGAATACCTCATCTGATTTGTTGGATATTCTAACATATCCCTTACATATTTTTTAAAGGAGAACGCATGTTACGGGTTATTATTTAAGCTCACCTGTTTTCATAAAATTGAAAAGATCTACTTAACTCTCTCGACATCGTGTTTAATATTTTACAAAATATATTGTTATCTCACATCTATAATAATAATATATTCATGTATATTTTCAACAATAATATACAGTACATTTTAGGTTACATTTATTTTTTTACAATATTGCAGCGCCCCCTTAAAAGCTGAGCTTGTGCTGAAGGAGCCGTTTTTATCAATTTTCAGAATACATAAGTAGTCGAATCAATCATATAATAATATATATTAATATTGAGAGAAAAATCCAACTATAAATTACAACAATCAAGATTTGTGTCTACACTGAAATTTAAATATTAGATCGATCTAGGTGTATCACATATAATTTAAACAACTCGAAACTTTAAAATTGACCATTGATCACTGATCAATATTTATATTTAATGAACGACATAAACTTAATCCTGTGTTTAAAACATTATTTTACCAAATACTTTTTTAATATGTGGTAAATTTATATTAATATTTATTTGTCTTGTACCCATCTAGTGCTGTGCTCATGATTTATTTTTGAAATTATCTTCCTATATAACCTAAGGCATACTTTATCATTTCCTCTGTAGCTTCTATTCAGACGTTCGCTTGACGAGGGTACGTTCCCTGACCTTTGAAAAATCTCCTCCATCACTCCTATTTTGGAGACGCTTCTTGTGTCTCAAATTATAGACCAATCTTCATTCTTTTACTTACTACTAAAATATTCGAGTTGTTTGTTCTAGGAAAAATTCAACATATTGTTAATGCTATCCTTATGAAAGAGCAACGTGGTTTCCGCCCTCGTCGTTCTACTGTAACGTGCAACACTGTCTTCTGTAACTACGCATTTGATGCGTCCCGTATAATTTTTGTCGGGACGATCGGACACTAAGCCGAAATACGGGACGTATGGTCGAGTGACCACCATGTAGACATAAAGTTTACTTTCTAGCTAGAAAGTAGCGCAGCATAGCTATTTTAGTTTTATAACAAACACATTATCATTAACACAGACATATCAACAACTGAAAAATGCATTAAACTCAAAATTACGTACATGTGTAATATCTAATATATTATACATATTATTATCTTGTACACGTATTGTAGACAGTTTACCATAAATAAATAATTTTTACCATAATTTTGATATAATCATCCAGCGACTGCTTGATTATTACTAATAAAAAGAGCGCACGTTCTTTTTAAATAAAGCAATAATATTGTTCACGACTGAAGGACGAAGATGTTTTATTTCGACTACCCTTTATCAGTGTGCGTGTATTCCATAAAATATAAATGTATTGTTTTTCATAAATAAGTGACAATAAAGCGACTTTAATCACCCTAAGGATTTTTTGGAACTTTTTTTGGAAAAATCCGTTGATATTTTACGACGATCCGAAAACAAGACCTGTGACTTTACGGGTCAAAACACAACTCGAAAATATGGAAAATCGAATAAAGACCGTAGGGTCTTACCTACTCAACATGGACATACCTATTATTAAAACCGTATGGGAACCTGTATACAGTACACTGCATGTGGTAATCAATATTAATTTTTCACCAAGAACGTGGACGAATACATTTCACTCGAGAAATGAGGAGTCTACTCGTAAAATTCGAAGAAGACGCCAAATTGAAAACGGCCGAGTCTACCTTAGGCAGACTGCGTGGAACCCGCTTGGTTTTGGTCTTAGAGTTAAAGCGCCTGTTATTGAATTATAAGAGGATTTGATCGAAATAATACGAGTACCAACGAATTACGATAAATCGTTTAGTCATTACGGGTAGAAGCCCGTGCAGGTAAAAGGTGCATCGGTATTAGTTGACCGCGGACGAAAATAATATCGCCGCGTAATTGCGCCCGTCTGTATAAAAAAATATTTCAATCCTTCAATTTCATTTGATCGCGTTATCTTGCGCGGACGTTCGGTGAACAATTGTGACGTTTCATCATGGCATTCGTTTTCGTCGATTCGCTAGTTGTATGTTAGCTTGTCCGTTCATTCCAGACACGTAAAGTTGTTGTTTTTTTTTTTTTTTTTCTACTCTACTTTATCAGCCAGACGAAAAGCAATCAAAACACGATTATTCATTATCCAACACGGTCACCGCGCACAGCGATTAACAGTGTCGTACGTTTGTGTGTTACCGCGTTCAAATAATAATTCTATGGGTACTGCGCACTATTAATAATTACAGTTTTGTTCCTATTATGAGTTCGGTATACGAATCGGACGCGCGCACGCGCACATACTCACATCCCATGTGTGGTATCGTCAGCCGTCACTATCACGGCGGATATCACGATCCACGAATTCGTCGCGATGCGTCGAATTAATAATGTTGAGTTTACGGCCGGTTTTAGTCGTTTTTTTATTTTTTTTTTCCCCGCATTAGATGTTGGTGATTTTAGCCGAAATTGATTTGCATCGATTTACCTGCATATTCGGACACGGCCGTGTTCATTTCGGTCTCAAAAACTTGTCTGAATAGTTCCGAACCGTTCGGATTATTTGTTTTTCCGTATCGTGTGGTGATATTTTTTTTTTTTTTTATAACAATTACACGTCCGTGCCCCCCTCCCACGCGCGTTTGTCCGTTCGACTGCCCCTAGTCGTTAGTTAATAATAATTTTATTATCGTATCGCAAATTTTGTTTTGCGGCCACAACACGTCGACTCGTTTTAAACCAACAGTTGGCCCGTCGATCGGTATAGGTGTACCTAACAATCCAACTTACAGCGACCCCACTGAACAGTCCACGACGCAGAGGTGTAACCGGAAACATGAATATTCGTAGTTTATTGAATTCATAATCTAAATGGAAAATCATGGACACGCCGGGTAAATTTAATTCCATTATTGTATTCCTCTGATATTATGAAATAGTCTTATGATAGTTCACACGTCTTGTAACTTCATCATAACCGCCCAATTTGTCTTTCACAATCTACTATAGATAGGTAGTGCAATGAAATTAGTTTCAGACGGTATGATTTGTGACTCTGGTTTTTGGTTTTTTTTGTTTTTTTCATAATAATTGAATTTCGAATTATTTTTAACGGTTACGCTTGAAGAACTAATTTTGTTTATATTATTATATTAAATTTTTTTTTAAATATCAAAGCACTTACCTAGTATTGATTTTTTATTCTGTACATTTTGTTATCAATGATAATACGAGAACAATAACCAATTGTTTTATAAAAATATCAAAAATAACAACTAACCCAATAAATTCACAATTATGTTACATTCTTTGTTTATTTTCAATTAGGTATAAACCATATTATGTTTACTAAATTTGTGAAATTACAACTATTACCACAACTATTAGCAGTGAAGCAATACATAAATGATAAATAAATGGAAAACATATATGGGTTAGTAATTAATTAGCATAGACAAAACCACTGATGTAACTAGTAAATATATAGCAAATCGCTAATATAATTGTAGGTACATTTGAACAAAATTAACCAGGTAAATATTTTTATACAAATAAAGGTACCTAGGTACCTATGTATATTTTTAAAAATAAATTGATTTTAATGTTTGGAGAAAAATAGATTTGATTTTGGTCCTTTTTGGATAGCATAGGAAAACATTATTATTTTTAAAGGAAAATAAGAATGTTTTCCTATGCTATCCATGTTTCTCCTCCGTCTTTTCCTACAAAAATGTACATTCCATCCTTCATCCAGACAATTTTTTGGATCAAAATCATATCTGTTTTCCTCCAAATATTGAAACCAATTTAGTTTTAAAAAAATACATTGATACATTTTTATACCTACATATAAAAAAAAAACACTGACTGCCTTAACACTTGTGTACTGTTGAAATGTATTGTAATTTTTTACTGTGTAATTTAACATGCAGTTTGTTTTATTACATATAGTTTCTATTGTACACAATTAAAACTTACGTTATAATTGTGTAATATATAACATACCTATATGTAATTAAAGGAACTAATCAATTATGTAACAATATCAGAAATGTTTTGTTGAAAATATAGGTAGGTATTTAATTAATTGGTGAACCATAATAAATATTAAACATGTTATTTCTAAGAATTAAAATAAACTTAATTTTTTTTTTTTTAATGCAATATTTAGGTTTGGGACTAGTTGCACCAAAAATGATCAAAATTGCAAATTCTTTGTTTATATACAAATGTTTACCTGGTTAATTTTCTTCAAATGTACCTACAATTACATTAGCGATTTGCTATAATCAACTAGTTACATCAGTGGTTTCAGCTATGCTATTTCATTTTATTGGAAAATTTTTAAAATTACTGTTGCTTAATTTATTTAATGGAATATAGGCGAACAACAGGGCTTCACATAGCTCGTGGTTAAAAATTTTGTTTTTTTGTCTGGGTAGATGTTAATACTAATTGTTGTTTACTTTATATTAATTTTGTTGGTGCTGCTTTACCGATTTATGTTTTTCTATTTTTTAAATGTTGTGTGCCTATATGTATTTATCATAACTTGTTAATATATTTTTATGATTGGTTACTGCAACTTAAGTATTATTTAATTTAATGTATAAAATGTAATATTTATGGTAATGAGTATTCTTGTTGAGTTTTAAAAATATTACGTCAAAACATATCTATTTATGTTAACAAACCTTAGTTAACATAATTTATTTTTATTGATTTGTTATTAGTGTATGCTTTATAATATATATATATTTTTATGTTTAGACAAAATAAATTCATTTCTACAGCCAAAATCAGAATTGTTCCATACAAATTCAAGTGATTGCAATTGCAATGAATCACAAAAGTATGCATTTAATAATTTATTAACTATTAACTTTCCCAATTTAGGTACCATATTATTTTGAATTAGTAATAATATTTTTTAAACATACTACTTATACATTATACTACATCACATTTTGATGTGTATTTTCTTCTGTTAATATCTTCCTTTTATTGATATAAAATAATTAAAAGTATATATATATTAGTGATTGAATATAAATATTATGAGCATTTTGTCCATTAATTTTTGATGTGTGAATAAATTAAAAATAATTGTTTAGACTTCAATTTGCTCTTTTTGGTTACTTTATTTGTATCTATATAAATAATATATAATTTTATCTGATCAAGCAAACACATTTTAAAACATATTCAAACAATGTCAAAATATTCAATCAAAAATATATTTTAAATTAATGAAAAAAAATATAATTATAAAAAACTTAAAATTGATTAAAAAATATTGAGAAAAAAATTAACTTTGCACATTTAATTGATTACTGAGTTTGTGTTAAGTTTTAAGTATTTGAATTATATAGGTAAGTACTTAATCATTTTGTTTTTTTTTTTTTTTTAAGGACATGCTCAAAACACAAAATGGTTACCAAAAATGATAAAATCAATGTTTCTGTTCTTAAATGCCATTTGGATTCCACAGCTAGAAAGTATACAGTTAAACCTCCACTGCTTCCAAAACCAGATATCACTACATTGAAAATAAGTCCTTACAAAGTCAAACACCAATTTCCTAGTGTCAATTCTTCACCAAGTAAAAAAATTGAAAAGACTGTTGATTTGGCTAAAAATCAAATTACAAGTTGTATGTTAAATAAAAGTGAAGACAACAAAAATGATGAAAAGTTAAAAAATGACAGTGATGTTAATTTAAATATTTCCCATTTAGAAGTTCCTATTATTGTAAATAGTATTTTAGAAAATAACATAATTGATAGTGAGAACAATAATAATAACAGTATTAACAACAAATTTTCTGAAAATGACTTTAAATATCAAGATAACAATTTACTTAGGGAATATGAGATATTTGATGGTGATTTAGATTTGTCAATTGATCACTTAGATGATATGAATACTACTATTGAAGATGAAAAAGCATCTATTGCTAGTGACACTATAGATCAATCATATTCTGTTAGGAAAAAACTCATTAATTGGTTTGGATCATTTGGTAAAGGGAAAAATGCAAAACAAAAAAAACAAGGACCTTTTTATGATGAAAATAATGATGACAGAAATTCTGACAAAGATAATAATGACTCTGACTCTCATTCATCACTTGAAGATAAAACCAATATTAAGATTGAACTTGGCAATACTTTATCAACAGACAATATTAAAGTGGAAGAAATTCAAACCAAATCAAAATCCTTGAGAATTGTGGAAGAACTCATATTGACTGAAAAAGTATTCATTGATGTTTTAAACCTATTATGCAAAACATTTGTATCCTTTGTTGAACAAGCTGGATGTGACACTAAAATAATACCATCTAATGATCTAGCTAAAATAATCAATCCTCTTCCACAATTATTAAGTCTAAATGAAGATTTATTACAAGATATGGAGAAACGATTGGAACACTGGAATGAACATCCTAAAATTGCTGATGTTATCGTAAAAAAAGGCCCTTTTCTCAAACTTTACTCAACTTATATACAAAATTTTGAGCACCAATGTAATTTATTGGATGAGTATTGTCAAAAATATCCTCGATTTCAAAAGTGTGTTAAAGACTTTGAAGCGTGTGATGTGTGTAAAAAACTAACCATCAAACATTACATGTTAAAACCAATTCAGCGAATACCCCAGTACAGACTCTTATTAGAAAACTATTTAAAAAACCAAGATGACTGCTCAATTGATTATAAAGACACAATTATCGCTTTAAATATTGTCTGTGATGTTGCCAATCATGCCAATAAAAGTATTAAACAAGAAGTAAGTCCTTATTTAAATTTTTCAATATTGATTTTAAATAAAAAATAAAAATAAATTTTGTCTATAAACATATTTGTTAAATTACAGGACTGCTTGAGTAAACTTTTACAGTTACAGTCACAATTAGGAAATTATGTTCTTATCAAACCTGGCCGAGAACTTGTTAAAGAAGGTGAACTCTTTAAGCTATCAAGGAAAGATATGCAACTTCGATATTTCATTTTGGTAAAATAATTTTAAATAATAAAATAGTATGGTTATAATATTATAACTTATAACTTATAAGAATTAGGACTAGGATTTGTATACACTTTTTCTCAGTGAAGGAATCTATTAGTTTTACCAATGTGTTATGTTTATAATATGTATAAATATTCTATTTGAAATCTTGCTCTGATATATCAAATGTTGTACCTTTTCTGAAAACAAATTTGTTCTGGTTGGTACTTTAGGGAGATCATTTTTTTCCTAGCAATTTTCATAATAATTGGTAAAATACCTAGAAAAAACAGAAAATATACAGAAATAATGCTTTAATTATTTTATAGAAAACTTATATTGTCCTATTTTAGACTTCTAGATATGCTAAAATTTTCAAAACATTTATGAACTATTTATAGACATTTTAACTAGCCAGTTTTTTAAGTAATTTTTATTTGGTAGGTACTCAATGGATAATTGTTAGACCACACAGAAATGCTTGAACATTTAATATGAGGTTATAATAAGTGGTCAAAAAGGAAAAATTGAGTTTAATATAGTATTTCTTTTTTTTTTATACACATTTTGATGAAAACCATAAATATTATAGACTTTTAAAACATGTATAACTGAACTCAGCTTATAATCTCGTTTTTCGTTAACAATGATTAATCGTTAAAAAGTTGAAAAGTGAGTTTTACAAGAAACCCACTGTAATGTAAAACAATAGTGATGTTAAAATTTAGATACTTGAGGGTTAAACAGATAACTTTAAGACATAACTAACTTGGTATTTTTAAAATCACTGGATTTCTTGTTTAATAATATTTTAGAGCAATAAAATCTACTTGCATAAAAAATTATCAAAGCTAAAGTTATTTAGAATTTTTAGAACATTTTTTAAAATTTTTATATAGCATTACATTCTCTACCCTAGTTATTATTTTCTTTATTAAAATGTTTTAGCTAAATGACTGTTTGTTGTATACATCATATTATGGGACAGTCGCAGGATTAAAAGTAAACTATGAACTCCCTCTTAGTGGAATGAAAGTATTTGTACCTATAACTGATGATTATAACAATGAGTTTAGTATTATTTCAATGACCAGGAGCTTCACTCTTAGGGCTAAGTAAGCTATTACTTGGTATTCACCAAGTCTTTACTGGTATTAATAAAAAACATGCTTTTAATAATAAACATTACAGGTCTTCTGTAGAACGTGAAGAATGGGTCAATATTCTGGGGAAGGCAATTAGTGAGCACAATAACAAACAACTATCATTTTTAAATATGAAATTCATTCCTAAAGATGGGCGCGAAGCGTTTATTTTGGGTCATGAGGTAATTGTTAATAATTAATGTTTGCATTTAATTAAATGTATATTTTTTCATTAAGGCTCCAATATGGATTCAAGATTGCCGTGTAACTATGTGTCAGTCATGTGCCGCAGAATTCACAGTTACTTTTAGAAGACATCATTGCAGGGCATGTGGTAAAGTATGTTAGAAATTGTATTAAACATTTTTTTTATAAAATAATTGTATTAATTTGTGCAATATTATTGGGCAGGTAGTTTGTAGTAATTGTTCAGAAAATAAAGCACCACTTCGGTACATGAAATTTCAAGCTGCTCGTGTATGTGATGATTGTTATGATTATTTGCTCAAGGGTATGTCAAATACTTAAAAAAAAAATAGTTCAACTGTTTAATATATTAGTTGGTTCTAATTTATTTTCAGAGTTTGAAGATAAAATGTTAGAAGTAGAACAAGCACACAATATTAGTGATGCAGACCTGCTCAAAATGGTAGATACCATAAAAAATTCTTTTAAGAAGTCTGGATTATGGAGCTCTAAAAAACTAGCTAAATATGTTCCCAATCGATTAAAAGAGGTAATAATATTATTATTTATTCAATTTCTTACCTAATTTTCTTATGTATTAAGTCATTGCATTGTTAGTTTATTAATATAAATACTTATAATCACTATCTAGTTTATAATTATGTAGTTATATAGTATAAACTGCATAGGTTACTGCCAATGATTCTGGAACACAAATGAGTGGTTGGTTGTACCGCCGTGAAAAACGGAAATCATGGAAACGATATTGGTTTGTTCTAAAAGAACAAGTTTTATATGCTTACAGAGCTTCTGAAGATGTTGTAGCTTTAAACACAATACCTGTACTAGGATATAACGTTCAAACATTTCCAGAAGTAAGCATTTGTTTATTAATATAACTTTTAAAGGTAAGGGCATGATTTTGAAGTGTCATTGAATAAAACCATGGGGACTAGAAAAATTAAAGTATTTTATTTAATAAATAATATTTTCATACAATTTTTGTATTATTTTAAATTAATATCTATATACTGTTTTATTATTCTACAGCCATTTTGACAACATCATCATTGCCTCTATCCTGATCACTATCTTCTTTATCAGTTTGACTAGATTTCTGTAAATTAATTTTACTACTTGGTTTTAGTGCTTGATTCAGAAAATATAATTTTAGTACATCCTAAATTTGAACTCATTAATGATATTATCATAAACAAAAACTTTAAAATTATTATCTAACTAAATTAGCTTTTATACTTTTGCCCCATTTATAAATTTGTGGATAAAATTTAATAATTATTATATCACAAACTTCAAAGTTTTTAAAAAAAGATTATTGGCATTCTTTTTTTTTAACAATTTGCTCATCTTTTTGTTTGCAGCAAATATTATTCTAATTTTAATGTATTGACAATACATATTTGACTGTGTAGTGGCAACCAACCTTTATCAAATATTTTATTTACTTATTTCTTCAATAAATACAAAAGTTTAAAAAAATATAAATTATAGGTGTGTAATTTTTAAATTTGGATGTACTTTCAAACATAAAAATGTAACATTACAAACACTTAATTTTTCACAAGCAGTATAAATATATGAATAAATCATAAGTAAATCATATTTTAAAAAAAACATCTTATAAATTCCTGAACTATATGCATTATTTTTTTCAATATTCAGCTTTATAAACATCCTAACTAATAATTATTTATATTAATTTATCTTTAATAAGTAAAAAATTTTACCATTTTAAAATAAAAAATTAGGTTCAATAATGGTGTGAGCCACTGTTGAAAGTGAGAAATTGAGAAGGTAGGATATAAAAGAGAATTTAACGTATATCTGTACACAATGATAAACAATTGCTAACAAAAATAGTTTCTGAGCAGACTCGATTATATCTTTTAAAAAGCCATAATATTTACCCTTTGCATCAAATTTTTTTTTATTACTGAATACGACTTGTAATGAATCTTCCCTTAAATTTTCAAGTATTTCTGTTTGGTCTAATAATTTTATCCACATGGTACATACTTGTTTTACATTAAAAATAACTGTCTATTAATGTCTATACATAGCTTAAAAAAGTGTTGAACATTTTACCACATGTAGAAAAGGCAACTATAACTTTTCTGTTTAAATTACATGTTTATACAAATATGTTTAACCGAATTACAACAAAAAACCAAACTGAAAATAATAAAAGCATTATTTTCATACATTTTCCTGTTTTCCCAATTATTATTATTATTATTATTATTATTATACTTGAAAATTGTAGTAAGTTTTCTGAAAGAAATTGTTAACATAAAATAGAAATTAAATATAAACTAAAATACTCTGTAAACATAAAAATAAAAAAATAATTTTGTTTAAAATTAGTTAAACACAAATAACATTAGTTTTAAGTCACAACCCTAATTTAAGGATCATATAGTGCCTACTCTAGATAGAATCCTAATAAGTAGAAGTTTGTTTGAAAAAGTGTTTAAATACAACACAACTTATGAACTTATGAGATATTTAATAAGTACCTGAAATAAATTTGTTTGGTTTCTGTAAACTGAAAATGTTTGAAGATGTCAGGTTCGGTTTAGGAAACTAAACTTGATGAATATCAGGACAATGTGCTAAAATCTTAAGTGTTCTGCTTAAATAGAGATGAATAACAGTCCTAAAATAATTAGACATTACTTTTTCCTATACAACGGTGAGGTAAGTGTTCAGTCAATAAAAACACTGTTCACTTTATAAAATGTTTTATTCAATAAAAATAAACTATTATGCAGAATTAATTAAATTAATGTGTGTCATAATATGTTTAAACTAGTTTTCTTAAGAAATAAATAATACCTAATTAAATAATTAATGGCATATATGTTTTAACAGAATATTTATTAATATATACCTTATACAATACAATAGTAAAATTTTATTTTATTTATCGAATTACAGGGTACAAGTTATGAGGATTTTGATTCATGCTGTGTTTTTCAATTGGCTCATGCTGGACAAAATCCTTTAATATTTAGTGCAGACATTGAACAGTTAGCCAAGAGGTATATATACTTATATCTTAATCATATTTCATAAGTCAATACTCTAAATATTTACAATCTATACATGTATAACTAAAATTAGAAAATAATAATTAAGTAATAATTTAATAACCATAAATAGCATACATAATTTTGGATTCTGAGTGGAGCGGGAAGTGGAAAAAACTGGAAAATGAAAGAAATGTAGGTATTGATAAAAATTAATAAGGCCTTTTTTATTCCTAGTTTGCTCCGATTTACAATGATAGGACTTTTTCTGAAAGGAAATCTGACTGATGTGGTACTTTAAGAAGGTCATGTTTTGATTTTTCCCATGAGTTTTCCTAGTAAAATTATTGCTACTTGTTTCTTAAATATTCTAAAAAACATTCCAAAAAAGTTAATACTTTCCAAGATAATAAGTGTACCCATTTAAATGGATCACCTGGTACTGTTATAGCATTACCATGTACCTAACTAACAATTGGTGCTGGATTTAATATTGTGAAATAGTAATAAAATATACATATTTGTTCATAAGGTCCTAAAATAAAAAGGCTGTAAACTATGGACAATATTGTTACAGTTAATAACAGTGTAGTGAATAAACTGTGTTGGACTAATGGTAGATACATAGCTAAATAACTACAATGGGTAGAATAGGTACATGTTCATGAAAATAGAACAGTATAGATGATGTAAACATTTCAATTTTTTTTTTTTTTTTTTCAAAGGGAAGTATTAATTGCTTCAATGAATCCAAGAGGTGAAAGAGATAAAATATGTAGCACTATTTACTTTATACAATAATACCAGAAAATCAATTTCGAAAAAAATTTTCAGCTAAGTGAGAAGTCCATGAACATTTATAAAGCTATTTAGATATATAGTAATACAATTTGAATTTAAAAATGAATCTAAGAAAGATTAAATCTGTATAAATGTTGACAGTTTTTTCTTGTTAACTTAATGTTAATAAATATTTATATAATAAATAATTGTTAAATTATCTAATTTGTTCAATTCAAATTTATTAAAAAAAAATTATTATGAAACTACTTAGAATTAGCTATGAAAGTGGAATAAAAAACGCTTTTTGATTTTAGATTCTAATCGGGGCGAAATAAAGCTTATGGTTTTACAAAGATGTTTATTATTATTATTATTATTATTATCTTTTCTACCAGAAGACTTGCTCCAATTTTTAAGTATAGCACCAGTTCTGAAAGGAAATCGATATGGGAAGATACTGTAGGAAGGTTTTTCAATTTTCTCAGGAGTTTCTTTATCAACTATGAAAAACAGGGAAAATATAAGAAATGTTAGTTAAATATGAGTTAAAATATATTATGGCCTTCTTTTTTCCTGTGAACAACTTTCCTACCGACAATTTTGTTCCAATTTACAATGATAGCAGTGTTTCTAAAAGAAAATCCAACTGGGAAGATGCATTAGAGAGGACATTTTTCGATTTTCTTAGGAGTTTTCCCAGCAAATGTGAAAAACTGTGAAAAAACTTAAGAAAAAGGAAGAAAAACCAGGAAATATTATTAAATAAAATATATAATCCTATTTATTTTTCTGTAATATGGCATATATATTGTTAACAAAGCATCACTATCAACCAAACTTCGCTCAGAATTGTTTTTCGTAAACTATGGTTTATGCTTAAAGATAAACATTAAATTAATTAAAATAGTAGCTGCACCTATCCCTATTATCCTAGTAGTTTTTTTTTTTAATTCTATGGGTTTATAAATGACTATTCTAGTTTATTATGTATTAAATAAAGTCTTGTATGTTCACAGGTGGATTAATGCACTTTCTGAAGAGACAAAGTTAAAATGAGATCTCTTTCAATATTTTAAATATTATTTATCATTGATTTATGATAAATAAATTTGTTTACAAATACTTGTATTTAATGCATCTTTATATAATTTTATTTGTTTTAAACAATATTGAATATGATTTTAATATTACACCACAATTATTATTTTTAATGGTGCTACATTAAACATATATAGTTAGTATAGACCTTTGTTTAAATTTGTTAAATGTTTAAATATTATAGTATTAATTATCAGTGCCTTGATTTAAAGTGTAACTTGATTGTGTTTTATGTGTGTGTGTGTGTGTAATTTATTTTCAAACTATATCATATTGAATTATATAAATTTTATTAAAATCAATATTTTTTTTTTTTTTTTAAGTATTTCACTTTAATGTTTTATCTAGACCTATTTTTATGTAATCCAAAATGTATTTTGAAAATTAAAAAAATTAATAGTATTATTGTGAGTTATTTACTGTTAAATTTTATATTTATACAAATTTATTATTATTCGTTATATTTTTGCACTATGTTTAAAAAATTTGTTTTTTTAACATTAAATAATGTTTATGAAAATTCAACTGTAATTCATTTCAATAAACCTATATGTTATTTTATTGAATCAATTAAATAGACCCATATAATATTATGAGCCTATAATACACTAATTTAATATTAAGTTAACAATAACATTTAGAAATTAGAAGATCAGCAATAAGAATTAAATGTATTATATACTTTTACAGATGTATTATAAGTATCAGTAGTGGCTTGCCAGATGAGGGACGAGCCTTATTATAAAAAAGAAAAATTCAATTTTTTAATAAATCATAGAGCTGAGCAGTTTGAGAACCTAGGATTTTTATCTAACCTAACCTAATGTCTTTTTTAATATTCGAGTTTAGGTTTAATAAAATATTTTAAAAGTATTAGTATAATTTAGTATAATTCAAGTATTAGTAGGTATAATGTCTATAAATATATGATCATCAATAGTGAAGCTGTAGGAACAGTTGTCTCTAGCGATACCATTAATACAACTAAAATAATTAAATTAAAATATTCTGATTTAGTATTATTTTTACTACTTGGTGATGTATTGATATAATATCAATAACATTCTGTTACTGACTTTATTCGCTGAAAAAAAATTTGATAATATTTTAGTTAATTGGATTTCAAATACTGAAAAATCGTTTTTATGAACTCTGTAAAGTGCTATTATTACACGAGTGGTCTCTCTAGTGTCTCTAATATTAATGTTAAGTATTAACATACATACACAAATAAACCACTATTTTGGTTAAAATTATTATTACAATTTTAATCTTTATACTAGTATTCATTAGACAACTTCCGAGCCAACACTCGGATAAGACTATGTAATCAATATATTATATAATATTATCCAACATAAGTAACTAATAATTGATTACAGTTTTTTTGAATTGATCTTATGTTAATATGGACGGTTTAAAGCCTTTATTATTAGTTACTAATGTATTCAGGGTGTTTATATCCGAAAAAGTATTATTATTGAAATTTCTTAAATTATCAATTAAATCATTAATATAATTATAAATGTATATAATATGTAAAATAGTATAACGATACGTACATTATCCCACTGGCAGTGCGAGGCTAGTATTGGGTGTACAGTCATGGGCGAGGTGAAATGGACGGCGAGATTACTAACTATGGTGGGTTTTAGGCGCGCGCCCGGAGGCCCGTAACAGAAACGCGGCAGTGTCACGAGTCGCGCAGTAATGTGGTACCATTAAGGATAGATACCACAGGCCACCAGCACCAACCTCACTTAACCATCGACTAGACACCCTCAAGATGTAGAATTTACTGGTAATATAAAAATCATATAAACTATTTGATTCGTGTCTGGTCTTGTGTAAACACAACAGGGGTTACGTTGGTCCATTACATAAATATCACACACCGAGTCCCTGAGACCTCGTAAATACAAACATAGAGCACATACGCACGAGCACGGGGGGCTATTTAACAATAGTTATAATTAATGACAACTTTCGTTGTACATATTATAAGTTGTACCAAACTTTATCGTTCTTGATTAAACAAACTCTGGATTTTCCGTTCTTGCGTACAAAGATATCTGAACTATTTGTCCCCACGAATTTAAATTCTTTGTCATTTGCCATTTTTTTTTTCGATTTACCAAATATAACCCCTTTGTATTTTGTTAAGTGGTCATTGCATCTATGGCATATTGTCATTACACGTGCATATATAATTTGTGTTAAAACATATATAATAATTTAAAGCGGTATATGGTAATAATTGTTGAAATAAAAATATATACTGTTTTGTTATAGGTAAAGTGAAAATTAAGTTTATAGAAACAAACAAACATTTTAAAAAATATTGCTGGTACTCGGCTGGCTAAAGTCAAAGAAATAATGAAATCTTATTAATTAATTATTATGTGTAATATTATTATTACACACAATTACATTAATTACAAACATTTTTTTTTATTACAAAATATATTATTCATAATTTTTATTATATTATAGGTAAGTAATTATACATATATAATATTTTAGTATTTTTCATCAAAGGTATGACTTTATTAATCTTGACTATAAAATATTAATGATAAATAATTTTTCAATAAAAAGGACATATTTTTCTTTTTATAATAAAATATGTTTTGTATTATATTCCTAATAATTAATAAAGAATAATAATTATCAATAGTCAAGAGCCACTATTAGGTGGCTGCTTAATTCACACCTTTCATATTATATTCTACTCTTATCATATAAACTTATTGTGCTAGTTTCTATAAATTGTTTATGTCTAATAAAAATAAAAAATATTATCTATATTCATAATTTTTATCTGTCAATACTATAGAAGATAATTTTTTTTTCAATAAACAAATTACTTTTGATCTTGGCTCGTTTTATTTAATAATTAAAAATAATACATGTTAATACCAAATTGTATATTCCTGTAACATCTTTCATGTGTAGCCTCTATGGCCTATATACATTAAATATATTTCAGGATTTTAGTGGAATAAACTGGGAATATTTTTTGGACACTGTCTACAGATGTCTAATGAATATGTTTGTAGATATATATGGTATTATCTTAAGTAATCTGAGGTGAGACATAGTAAGTTTGCTGATAACACTCCTTGAATATCCGTGGATTATTAGCGAATCGCATATATGCCAATTTTAAAAAGTATAATTATATCGAATGCTTCGTGGACACACCTTCAACATAGATATCGGTACAATTTCATAAATTAATTGAATTGTATATTCCCGAATTGAATAGAACTGAAGAACGAACAAGATCGGTTAGACAATATCTTAATGGATAATAATAGATTTAATGACTACCATCTATTATTATTACTACCAAAGTAGGTACTTTAGAGAAATGGTCTTATCCAAAACTATCAAATTAAAATACCCACCTACTAAGTAGTTTGTATAAATTGAACAGTATTAAACATTTGATATATAGTAATAACTAATGGCTAAAACAATATAAATATAATACAGAGAACCGTTATATTTGCATCATTATTAATAACGAAATTAATGTATAAACATTTTTTTTTTTTTTCTTTAATTTAGCATTGCATTTTCAGAATTGTATTAGGATCATATTGCGTAGATACATGTTAAACAAAAATCAATTTAAATAAAGAATTCAACAAACTTATCTAATCATAATTTAACACCTACCTAATCAATGTCGTTGTAGTTCATTTAGTCACAGATGATTAAATGTACCTAGTTTGAATAAAATTTATTACATTCGGAATGTTTTAAGTTTTTACATATTGTTATCTACTATCTACATATATGCAGTCACGCGGGTGTAAGAATTTGTGAACGATTTATTCAATAAAGAGTTTATAGGACAAAGTTTTTTTTACATATTCGAGACTATTTCACGGATTAGAGTATATTTGAAATATCAAGCACATTTGTATTAAATTAAATTTTGGTGGGTAGATATAACATTTCTATACATAAAATATTTAAAATATTTTTTTGAACAATAATGAAAGATTCTTGAAGGTTAGGTTAGGTTAGACAAAGACAATCAATGGACATACTGAGGAATTGCAATACAATTTCAAGAGCTGGTAAACAACATTGAACGTTAGTAACAGAATTTTAAGAATTGGTTAAAATATTAATTTTTAGGAGTTGTATAGGCAACTTATTAAAATAGGAATAGTACAATTACAGGAGTTGAACAGACAACATTGTATACAAATTGGGAACCACTGGACTTTCTTATCAAATTTTTGACACCGGAATGTACATACAATTTTTGTATATTATGTAAATAATAACATCAATGATTATATTATTGTAAAATTTTAGTGACGGTAATGGATTCGACAATTTTTCGTCGTGAAACAATGTCCGTGTTGTTTACGTGTAGTTCTCCATTTAACAATCTGCTTTTCGTCGTGAGAGACCGATAATAAACAGAAAACAAAAAATTTGGTCGTCACCAACCACTACACGCTAAACCAGTTATTTATTTGCTTTACAGAAGCTAATAATTTCCTGGTTACCAGTAAACGTGTTTCCTTATTTTTTCTGTTTGTGCTCTTTTTTTTTTCTGTCTTCATAACGATGAGTGACTACGATTCTGACACCAATTCGTCGGATTCGAGTTTTCTAAAAGTGGATTTTTACGAAGGTGAGTTGTTAACGTTAATACCTACAATATGGTGGGTATTTACTACAATACTACCTATTGTAATATGTGACTATTATAAAAAATAATCTGAAAGTTTTATTTTTATGGCACTTTTTTCATTCACATTACATTACACTAGTTGAATAGTGTACCATCATTAATACTCTTTTACATATGTCGCTGCTACCAATTATCGTATCATTTGACACTGCTGTTCTTTGCAATACAATTTATTCGTTCATTTCACATGATGTAGACGCATACATTTACTGTTATTGTCAAACTGTTAGTTAACCTGGGTTTTGAAAGATTGAAATTTCGATTATAATTTACATTTTGATATTTTATCATCTCATTTGATTTTACAATTTGTGGCCGTATAAGGAAATAATATTGGCTTTTGTACCTATGGTTGATATTTATATTTTAATTTGTTAAACTAATATGAAAACAACATAGTGATAGGCTGTTTACTTAAATAGCCAAAACAGTTTCTAGCCGCGGTCAATTAACTCAGTAGGATCATTCATAGCCATACACATTATCAATTTTTAGTTCTGCGGATGCTTAGCTGTTTAGGCAACGCCCTATGTACCTAATATGTAGGTACATAATGATTTTAAATTTAATCACTATACAATTATATACTCCACAGTTATAGATGGACTTTAATATAAGTAGATAATAGGTTAATTTTTTTTTTTTAAACAAAAAGTAGTTTACTATTTTAATTAATTTGTATGTTATGTTTTTGTCAATATTTCTATAGGTACATAGGTAACATTCAAGTTCACATATATATCTGAAAAACCATTAGGTATGTAATTAAATAGGTACTTTTTATGTGTAAAATAGTTTCATCAATTTTAATTATTCATTTTTATGTGAATTTAACATTTGGTTTTTAATTAAGTTTAATATATTAAATGTTCATTTAATAATTGTAAAAATTTAGGAGTATTTTTTTTCTAGTAGTTATTATAAAGATTAACAGATAGTTAAATATTCATAAGTAGGTGAGGTACTATTCTATATTATTATTAGGCTTTAGGACTTCTAGTCCTAAAAAAAATGTAAATATGTTTTAAAAAGATTCAAGAATGCACTAAAATATGCTCTTAAAATTGTTCTACTGTTTTACTATATAATAGTCTATTGGAATATGTAATGCTATGCGATTTGCTATCGCACATCATTGCATATGAATTTGAACAATGTAAATTTTAAAAAAAAGTGTCTATAATACACCCCATACAATATATGAGTATATATTAAATTTTCTTCTTCATCATTGGTATCATCACTTTGCTGGTACTTCCGAGAAATAATATAAAGCATGGATGAGCATTTATCGTATTTAGCATCTCATAAAAATTGCATGGCACATGCAATTATAATATTGACAATTGTAGAAGGTGCATAGATCCTTTGGCAAGTAAGACAGTTACTTTTCTTTTCCACACTCCAAACATCCTTTCAATTATATTTCTGGTTCTTGTTTGTGCTTTGTTGTATTCCCACTCTGGTATTGTAATAGGGTTACTCAATAGAGTAAAAGATATGGATTACAAGCATAACCTAAATAAAATAAGATTTCGTTATATTTAATAAGATTTGGAAAATAAATGCTAAATGTTTATAATTTGAAAAGAAAAAATAATATTACCTCCATCTGCGAGTAATATCACATTTTATGTACATTCAAAAAAAATGTATTTGCATCACTTCCACTGAAAATAAAACTATTGTGATAGCCGTGATGATGGTCCGTAAGTCTAAATTTACAATCTAAAAATCAAGAAAACATGTCAAAGAAAATTATTAAAATTTAAATGTTTACAATATGATTTAAGAGGATGTCGCTTCAGTGAAATAATTAATAGATGCCTAATTACATTATGACAAGATTAATTTTAACAAATTTAGTAGAAAAGGGCATTATATGAGCATTTGAGAAATATTTATTTTTAAGGTGTTGGTTTTATTTGTTGTAATAATTTAAGAAAATGTTTGATAGAAACAAAAAACTTGAAATTTTTTTTGAATACATAATTGAAAATTTGATTATCTGTAAAACCCTAAAGCTGTTAAAAGTTATTAATTTCTTTTAAGAACCTATAATTTTAAGTATAGATCATTTAGAGTATATTTTCAAAGTATACTTAGAACCCGTTTACATTAAAATATTTATACCTTCTGGATGTCTTCTCTTCATGTTCTTCATCAGGAGCAAATTGTGTGGAATCAATTAACTGAAATATGTTATCCATTGCAATTAAAATAATACTTATAATGGTTAAATATATACTAATAAATAAAATATAATTATAATTAAATATAATATAATATATTATTATATCAAAAGTTACAAGCTTGCTAAGGGCAATCAATCTTGCACTTAAATTTAAGGAAGTTCTTAAGTGTCACCTATGCAAATTTTAAGTGCTATAAAAAGATACATATATTTAAGTATTACTTAAATAGCTATGCATACAAGGGTATATCCTTTTATAGCACTTAAAATTTACATACTGCTAAAATATGCTCTAAAAAGCAAAAACTGTAAAATATGCAAGATAAAATTTAGATTTAGATTCTCTACATGAAGAACAGTATTTATGTAAGACATTGCTGTTTTTCTAAACTTTCAAAAAAAAAAAATATGCAAATGTAAGAAGCTTCTAACGCTAATTATTATGTATAAAATCTAAATCTAAATAAATAGGTAATGTAATATACAAACTTGAAAGGCTGTAATATTTACGATTTGAAAATAATACATTTCGTACATTTTCCCGGTTTTTTCCATTCATTATGAAAACTCTTAAAAAAAAATGACCTCCTTAAAGTACTACCTCAGTAAAATTTTCTTTTAGAAAAAGTACCATCATTGTAAATTGAAGCAAACTTGCTAGTAAAAAGTTGTGTCCACAGAAAAAAAAAATAAATATTACTGTAAAACCAATACATATCTCGCTTTACACAGAATCTAAAAATATGTTGAGCACTTAATTCATTTAGTTATAATTTTTTTTTAATAACCAGAAAAAAGTGAAAATTACTTTTTCAAAATATATAGGCAGGTTAAAAAGTCTAAATTTAAGTCATTTAACTGCTCTAAAAAAAAGAAAAAAATATTTTATGTATGAATTTAATTACATTTTTCTTTATTTCCAGTTCAAAATATAGTGCCTGATCAGTACAAAGATAAAGTGGACAAACTAAACAAAATACTACAAAAAGAAGAAAAAGATATTGATCAACTAAAAAATTTAGCTTGCAGTGAAGGGGGATTAGTTATAAGTAAGTAAATAGAATAATTATTTGTTTATGTATGTTGTTATTACAGGTTACCAATATACAGAGTGATTATTTTATTATTGAATTCATTATTTCCAAAAATATTAACTTTTTCAAAAAAAAAAAAAATTTAAGAAACAAATAGTAGCTCTAAAATGTTACATGTTTACAAATTACCTGTTTTTGATTTTTAAATGTAAAATTTAATTAAAAATTCCATAAATATATGAAAATTTAGTTTAATTTCCATCAACCTGTTAATGAAATATTGTATTTTTAAGTTTGAGTAGAGGAGAGTAGTAGAGCAGCACAACCTTGCCGCCATATAAAAATGCTTCACTACACTTGCCCTACTTAAACTTACAGGTGGAATATCTTGTCAGGTTTATAGAAATAATAAATATCAACATCTAAATTTGTTTATTTATTTATTTATTTATTTAACTCCATCTATTTATGGTATTTTTAATACAGATTGCCATTTGAAAATCAAAAGTAGGCATCTATTTCACCCTCAAAAAAAATAGTAATGCAAAATTTTAGTGCTCTTTATTTCTTAAATTTTCAAAAAAAAATTAATTAAAAAGTCAATAATTTGTAAAATAATGAGTGTTCATTGATAAAAAAATCACTTTGTATAAATAATAAACATTAAAAACTTTAAATGATTTTGCTCATTCAAATATGTAAATAAACTATGGATGCTAAATTTTGAAATCTCCATATTGGAACATGATATTGAATGGTCATTTAATAGACCATCAGGTCTTGTACTGTATTTTCATCTATCCTACCCTTTCATCTGATAAAGTGTTATTCATAATTTTACTCTCAGTCTCTAAAACCAGGAAGAAATGCAAGCCTAAACTATACATAATAGTAACTAACATTCAGTTTTAATTTAGGTTTAGTACGTGCAGAAGCATGGCAATTATTTCTAGGATTATCAATCAATAATGATAAACCACTATTAAACTTGGAAACTATACAAAATCATCCTGAATACCATCAAGTTGATATGGATGTACGGAGATGTTTAAAAAGATTTCCACCAGGAATATCATATGAACAAATTGGTAAATTGCAAAAACAATTAATTGCTGTTATACTGAGTGTGATTGCTGAACATAAAGAATTAAAATACTACCAAGTAATAATATAACAAATTTAATAATAAGAAAACAATTTTTCATATTCTTGAACATTCTCTTTATAGGGTTATCATGATGTTGCTGTTACATTCCTTATAGAAGTTGGACAAGAAAAAGCATTTAGTATCATGGAGTATCTATCATTAAATCATTTAAGAGAATTTCTAAAGCCTACTATGGAGGAGACCTCATATATGTTATGGCACGTGTTTCCATTAGTCTCAAAGCTCAATCCAGACTTAGAAGAATTTATAACAAAGTGAATATTAATTTTAGTAAAACTACAAGAACTGTTTGATACAATTATTCACTAAACTTCTACCTAACAAATTCAGTCTCATATTTTCTGTTTTTTATCTACATCAATGGTTTCCATCCTATGGTACAATATGGAATAGTTCACGAGGTTTTACCTACAAAATTAAATAAAATATTTTATATACATAATATCACATATTTGCATATTTAAAATTCTGTAATTTGGCCCTGTGTTATAAATCTGGCCTATGCTAAATAGATAATGGATACGCATTATCTGATTTGAATGTTGATAACTTTATTATTTTTACTTATCAGTCCATACAAATTGTGGTCATCCACAGCCCATTGAAAGTTCTCTAAGTATCAAAAAAGTTGAGTACCACTGGTCTACATTAATTGATAAACTCGTTATATTAATAAAAAAATTATAAAGATTTACTTACTATTACATTTTAGATTCAAATAAATTATTCAATTTTCCTACCAACTAAAATTATAGTATAATATTTATTTAATTTGATTATTTTAATTATGTTTTAGGTCTGGTATTGGTACAATATTTGCTCTGCCATGGTTATTATCATGGTTTAGTCACAGTTTAAATCAACACATAAAAGTAGTTAGATTATTTGATTATTTCCTGGCTTCACCAAAAGATATTATTCTATATGTAATAGCTCAATTGATTAACGCCAGAAGTGATGAAGTCTTAAAAGCTGAATGTGATATGGCTAGTGTCCACTCCATACTATCAAAGGTACTTAATCCAATTTTCAGAGAACTTGTTCAAATTTTATTTTGTTTCAGATTCCAGAAGACTTGGATTTTGAATTAATATTGACCCAAGCTACAGAAATGTCCAAGGAATATCCTCTATTAACGATCAAAGATGAAGTTGATCTAAGAATCGAATACGAGTAAAGAAATTTCAAATATTAATCCAAATTAATAACCTTGAAATAAATAACACTTTAAATTTTAAAACCTATGAACTTTAGATGTAAAATGTTTGTTTTATTAATGTTATTCTATAATTTTAGAAGTAATTTCTTAAAAAGTATGCATGAAGAATTTGCAATGCGAAAACGAGTAAAGAAAATGAAACCTGCTGGCCATGGACCACCTTTTGCCAATGCTTATAATTTTGTACCCTTATGGAGAGCACCTAGAATGAGATTTGGCCTCTTGTTCTTTGGATTCAGCGTTGCTGCTGGTTTATGGGCTATTGTCAGATCTAATAACTAAAACATATTCCATATTTAATTTGTGCTATACACAAGGGACCAAATAGACTGATATTTTACAATATTATATTGACATTTATGTGAATATTTTTACTTTTTGCTATTATAATCCTGTTGTGATAAATTAAACTGTTATTGTTCATTTTTGTTTAATATGATTAAATTATGGTTAAATTAATTTTTTAAAATAATCTGTCTTCAGATATTATATATCATACAGATATATATTTGTAGTGTTTATTATTGAAGGTATATTTATAGTTATTTTAATTTTATATGATTTATTATGAACTTATTTATTTATTATTATTTAACTTAATATTTTATTCATTGTTTGTGTCAATGTAGAATATCATAATATGTATTTTCTCTTTTATATAATAAATTGATTTATTATTTAGAGTTATTTATAATAATAATAATAATAAGTTATTTAAATTAATTAGCCTATTTTTTAAGTAGAGTGATTTATTGTAATCTTTATATAGAACATTGATAAACTTCTAACTGTTTATGCTCTTTTTAGATTAAATATTTAAGTATATCCACTACGCATGTATACAAATCATTAAAAGCACTTACAATATTCCAAAATTGGTATAGCTTAATGTTGATTAACTATTAATACATTTTGAAATAACAAGTTAATTCATGACATTTTTTTCACATAAAATGATTTTCTACAGTATACATTAAATCTAAGATAATGTGTTGTCTACTGTGCTTATGATAAAAATTTACAACTATCTAGTTAAAATATAAACTGATTTCTATAACCAGTTAAATTGTGTTTTTATTTCTATTCTGCCCACCATTTTTGTGGAATTTCTGAGTATATTTTTATGGTAATATTGAATTAAGTTTTAATACTACTTATGTAACTGTAATGTATGCTTTGTTATCAAAATTAAAAAACAATTGAGTACTGTAATAAAACAAAATTGTCTATCTAACCTAGGGGTGTCCAACCTTTTGTGAAAACTTCGCCATATCATGTAAGTAAAATTTGTTGGCCACATACATTTAATTTTTAATTTTTACCATAGGGAATAATGAGTAGAAATATTTTAACGATTTTAAGCTATTACATTTTATTTATAATAACAAGAAAAATTTATTTATTTATGATTAAAATAAAACAATTTTGAATTGATTGTATTTTTATTTTAGTTACATTACTTTCTTTACCCACATCAGATCCCAATAAAGATAAAACTCAAATAATAGTATATACTATAAAGTAATATTTTAAGTTTTTTTAATATTTTGTAGTTTTATATTCTTCAAATAAATTTTTCTCATAATATATTATATATAATTAATTAATGATTTGAAATTGAAGTGAGGGCCATATTAAAATCTACAATTACTCTTTGAAGTATTGAAAGTGAATTATTGCTTATATTTTATACAATAAAAAAATGTTAATGGATGACTCATGTGAAAGTATACTATTTATCTTTTTTTCATGTTTAAATAATTTGAAGATCATTTTAACATTTTATAGAGTTTCTTCTTCTGAAAATGTTGATGTATCAACTCTTTTTCATTAAATTCATCATTTTAATACATTTTTAAAGGTCAAAGAAAAGTACCTATAATTATATAGCAGACCGTAATTGCATTTACTAATTGATTAATATTATGCTAATTCACTACACTTTTACTCTGTATATATTAAGTATAGAATATGATAAATGATTTATAAAATTTAAAATATATCATTCATTTACCAATAAACATTATTTATTATTTCATTTACACTTAATTTTGTATATCTACATAGTAAACAATTTAATTTTCTGTTAAACCAGATAAATTCCACAGTAAGTACATTTGTCAAAAACATTCCTACCCAAGAACTTTGTAAAAAATTATTAGACACTACTATTCACAATAATTATAAAACTGAAACACAGCAATCTACATCATCAGACTTTAACAAAAATGATAAATCTGAACACAAGTATAATATTTTAATGTCAACACAGACTAAAACAAATGCACGCAGTGTGGTGTATATCTATTGTCTCAAATAATGCAACTACATGGGTTGTCACAACTTGGGGTAGGTGGGTAGCAATATGTTGAGTTTTTTATAATCAAATTTCAATTATTTATACTAATTATTATACTTTATATTTATATAAAAGTAAATCACTAGAGTAGGATACTAGATAAAGTATGAAACATTCATTCATACAAAACAAGAAGAGCAAAAACCCACTCTTATATAATAATCCTATAATATTACAAGGATGGTATGATGATATGATATTAATTTATTATGACCAGGTAACTGCAAAATAAAAAGACATCCTAGGATAATGGAGACAGGTGCAGCTACTATTTTAAGTAATTTAATGTATATCTGTAAGCAAAGATAAATCATTGCTTACGAAAAATGATTCTGAGGGGAGTTCAGTTGATAGTGATGCTTTGTCGACAATATATATACTATATTACAGTAAAATAATTAAATAAGATTATATATTTTCTTTAATAATATTTCCCGGTTTTCCTATGTTCCCCGGTTTTTCACATATACTGGAAAAACTCCTGAGAAAATTGAAAAATGACCTCTTTAAAATATCTCCCCAGATAAATTTCCTTTTAGAAACATTGCTATCATTATAAATTTGAAGACAATTTCTGGTCGAAAAAATGTGCACAGGAAAAATGAAGGTTGAAATATTTTTAACTAATACCTACATTTCTTATAATCTCCCGGTTTTTTACATTTTTTTTTACCACCACAATTGTAAGTAGAAAGTTATCCACAAAAAAAAACACGTAATATTTTTCAAATATATTTCATACATTTCCTGTATTTTTTCGGACTTTCACATTTGATTAAAAAAACTCTTAATTAAAATTGAAAAATGACTTCCCTCCATAAAGTACCTCCAGTCAGAATTTAAAAAAGATAGGTTTTAAAAATCAAGAAAAAGTAAATGCCATAAGTTTGTTCGTTTATATAAAATAAATAACAAAACTACCAATAATTAGGTCATTAATTAGATTACATAGATCATTGGACATTATTTATTTTGGAAAGCTGTATTCAAAGTTCCAATTTTTATAAATATAAATTAATTTAATGAACTATGGGTTTTTGTTAACAATATTATCTTAAATAATAGATATAGTATGAATATTAAAAACTACAGTAATAAGTTAAATAAAGGTATAAAATTGCACAAATGCTTTAAATATTGATATTTATACAAATATATTGAAAAAGTATGTAAAAAATAAAAGTTCTTATATGTTCATAACATTATACATTGTTTAGTTAAGTTGAACAAGTGACATAGATATTCAATATAATGACTAAAAACTAATAAGGTGTAATTTTTAGATGGGACATTATTGTAGCAAGGCTGCAGTAAGTTAATACCATAGTCATCTTAGCACCAAGTCTCTGAACACAGCAAAACAAAAACAAAAATCTATTTTTTTTTGCTCATTACGAATTTTGAGTGGAGGGGCAGGTGTATAAAACAGGGATGACTTTTTTTTTAAATTTTTTTGCTCAGTACTGGATAGATCGGTATACTTTTGTTAACTGCTGTCAAAATTCCTCTGTTAGCCACTGTAAATACATGCTTAAAATAAGACATGGTAGAGTTAATTTTTCTTAGTCCCCTTCATTGTTTTCTACTCCTCAAAAAACTAAAATAACAAATATAATAGAAATAACAAGCCAAAATTTAAAAAGGAAATGTAATTTGATCGAAATAGATACACCTTGACAAATAAATTTAAAATAAACATTAAAACCAAATAATTCATAAAAAAAAAATAAATATCACATCTCAAAATTAAAAAAAAAGAGTTAGTACATTGAAGAATACTCATAATAATATTAAAAACTCAATAAATATGCATAAATTGTTATCAATTAATTTCAAAGCAATGATAACAGTGCAATGAAAAGATAGATGTTGTCCATGTAAATTAAATGAAAAAATTAGGTTTAAATTTATATTATAAATTACCAACAACATATAAATTTTTACGTTCACAAAAAGATAACTTATCCAATCCATTGACTATCTGTCGTTGGATTGGTCAATCAAAATTCTTACCAGGTTTTAATTAATTATTTTTCAGTCATATACAAAAACTTGAGTCATCTGATTATAAATAAAAAGCGTGCACTGTTTGTTTTGATGAGATGAATATGAAATAATTTATAAAATATTCCAATGAATTTGATTTTATTGAAGGTTTCCATTGAAGAAAATTTCCAATTGCATATTTTCTTGTTCATTCTAGAGTTTAAACAAATTTAATAATTGATGTTTTACAAAAGTTATTTGTGGTTGGATTTTGTCCAAAAATTATAGTTTGGGATTAGGGCACAAATAATCAAACTATTTTAAAATCATTAAATGTTTCAGAAGATAATCTATTTTTTTTATCAACAATAATAAAATATTTATTTTCTTTGGTTGATGTTCCACATCTAGTTAAAAGTATTAGAAATAATTTAATTAATACATGTTATATAAAAGATAATAAAATAATCTCATGTGATGATATAAAAAAAACATAAGAGTTAGACAAACAAAATCATAAAAGTAGGTATCTCATCAAAATAACAGATGCACATATTTACCCAAATTATTTTCAAAAAATGCGTGTAAAATTAACATAGTTATTGAGCAATTCTATGTCAGCAACAATCCGAACTTGTATACAAATAGGATAACTTCAAAGTGAAACTTCTTCAAATACCTCAGATTTTATTGAGTTTATTAATCATTTATTTGATTGTTTTAATAGCAGGTCTTTATATATCACTGATTTAGGTACTGTAAAAAAATGTTTTTCAGAGCTTCACAATACTTCTCAAATTTACAAAAATTAAAAAAAGTAAAATTAATACAACCAGGATGGCTAAAACGGGGTGTTTTAAAAGTTGTACGCAAACCATTAATGGTGTATACAATTTTCTGAATAAGAGAAATCTAATAAATAATAAAATTGTAAATATTTTTTGAAAACAATTATGATAACAATTTAAACAAAAAAAAATTATATTTCAATTAATTAAACGTATATAAAATAATAAAAGTTATAAAATGGCTTGATGAATCAATCAAAAACTGTATTGAGCATAAAATGTATATAATTGAACAACTTTTAATATGCAAAATATTTAATAAAACAAAAATGTTTTCAACTATATTAAAATTAGCTTAACTTTCAAAATTAAAAATATTAAACCACATTTAAATAATAACAATAATAATATTCTCATAATTAATTATTCTGACATTGTACCTACGAGAATAGGTGCCAGCATCTACATGTTACATGTACATACAGGAAACATATTGTCTCTAGGTAAGAGACTCAAGATATACATGTTGTAAAATCAGTTAATGTTTATATATTTATTATTATTGTTATATTAACCTATTTTGTGAAATTAATTTGAATATTATAGTATATTATGAAACTTAAAAAGTGGGAATATTGTTTGGGTTTTTTTGTATTTTAATTTTTAATCAAGCAAGGACACTAACGCACACATATTGACAATGATTTTATCTTTAGATTTAATAATAGACAAACACACTTTAATGTTAAAACTAACAGCACACAATCAATTTTCATATACTAAAAAGTATATATATAACAACATTTACTGTAACATAAGTATTGTAACTTACTGTTGAAAATTATAATAGTATAATATGTATATTACCGATTTAAGAACGATGGTGAAGTCAGAATTGAGCGGACTTCTAAGTTTCGAAATTACAGCTTTTTGAAGTTCTGATATTATGCAGTTATTATATGTTATGTTAAATACTCTATATTGTCTTTTTAGAGTATGTTGGTTGTAGCCTAATGGTTATATGGTACATATCTATTAGCATCCTAGGGTTCGCGAGTTCAAACCCGTTTTTCGGAAAATGTTTGCACTTATTTTTTTCCTTTTACCTAAATAGGAAAAAAAAATTATTTTGGATATACCTAGACTCAAGCTCCAAAATATCAAGAAAAGCACATTTTGTGAAAGGGAATGTTCCTGTAGTGGTACCTAAGGGAGGTCATTTTTTGATTTTCCCTATAAATGAGAAAAACTGAGAAAATGTACGAAATGTAGGTATCAGTAAAAAAATAATAGGGTCTTTTGTTTTCCTGTGTAAATCTGATTGGAATAGTACTTTATAGTGGTCTTACATTTTAAAGAAATTATGTTTATTTTAAAAACGCATAGTTATGTACTTATGTGTAATATTATAGTTGTAAATATACAGCCTGTATAAATATATATTCGTGTATTTCATAATTGTATACCTCTGCATACTACACAATATGAATTATAAGACATATTTTAAATAAAAACCATAATATTCATACTTAAAACTAAAAATACACAATATTATAATGAATTCAGGTCTTTCTGAAAAATTGTAGAGTATTAAAAAAACAAATCATGTTTTTAGGTACTATTGTGGTGTATTAGGCTGTACTGTTGTACTTTAACCTAGACTTGTACTTATTAAGAGAGTTACTAAATTATGTTAGCTTTGAAAAGAAATAAGTTACTCTTTGAGTTGCAGAGATTGAAAATAATTCCTATTAAAATAAGGACATAATGAATGGTCATGAATTCCTATTTCTGAAGAACTTAAAAAAAACGATCATTTAGAAAAAATGAATGAACATGGATATTTAACTAAGGCTTAAAAAATGTATTCAAAATGAACAAATACTAACTATTGATACTTGATAAATTTGATGGAGATATGTACACATTGTCTTGTAATCAAACATTAAACTGCATGGTAAATAATGTATTAAAAAATGACTGAGGAAAATATTTACATAAGAATTAACCACATTAAGATTTGCCAATATACACAATTAATACTTTTGCACTACTAAAAACAGTACCCATAGTAGGATATAATTTAAGTCTAGGTAAATTTTTAAAAGCAATACCTAAAAATTCATACAGTGGGTGCAGCCACTGTTGTAGGTGAGAAGTTGAGAATGTAGTAAAGAAGAAATTGAATATATATTTGTAAACAACGATAGATCATTTTTAACGAAAAAATGATTCTGAGCGGAGTTCAGTTGATAATGTTCCTTTGCCAACAATATATATGCCATATTATGGTAAAATAATTACATAGGCATTATATACTTCACCTGCTATTAAGAATTGTATTAAATATCAAAGATTGTGACCAAAAACCCCCAAGTACTTTATTTTCACTTGATTTTGATTGCAGGTTTAGAATAGCTCAAAATTAATTTTTCATTTTAAAATTATCATACAGATTTACAGAAAATAAGATAAAATTAAATATTATAACTTTTTGTTATAAAATTATTAATATTTGTATTGAAAATAATTCTTTAAGTTTATTATTCACACAATAATTTAAATCTATTAATTAAAATAACCAAAAATTGTATATATCAAGATTTATTTTGATTTTTGAAATTATTTTATTCAAAGAAGACATATTTGTATAATGTTAAACAAATATTAAGATAGTACCTAACAAGAAAGTTTTAACTTGATTTGTATAAGTAATTCAACATCATATTTAATATAATACAATTAAGAACATACATGTTATAATATTGACAAGTAATATATACAGGTAATATTGACTACCTTAATATTACCTATTTGATTGAACACAATAAATTAATAGTTGTATATTGTCATATACAACTTACATAGGATATTAAAACTAATAATTTTAACTTAAAACAATGAAGAGACTACAATTTTTTCAAGAGCTGGGCAATGTAATCCATTACACGTTCATCTCTTAGAATTGTCATATGATCTGCATTAGGAAATACTTGATGAAATACTTTTTGCTTTTGCATAGATCTCCAATAGTTACAGCCTTCAAGGCTCCTTAAGTTGACTGTTCCATCTCCATTACCATACACCAACTTGGGATATTTATATGGAAATTGATTGGGGCCATATATCATTCTGGAAATAAAAAATTCCACACAATAAAAAGAGCTGATACTGCTAATAGAAAGTTGGAGGAAAGTTGAAGAGTTATTTAATTTATATATGTAAACAATGATTAATCATTGCTAATAAAATACGATTCTGAGCGAATTTTGTTAAAAATGTTTAAAAATACCATATTTTTTTTTTTACAATTTATTAAAATTTGAATTTAAAATGCTAACAAAAAAAAAAAATTATATTACACTTCAGTTTTTTTTTTACCATTAATTACCTTAAGAAACTTGTGTTAAATTTGCAAACATTTCTTTTTGGCCAAAAATAAATTTATCCCTACAAAACCAAATCAAATTTTAAAAACTCAAAAATAGCCAGGATATTTTACAATTTGACTACACTTAGAAAAGGATAATAACTAAGCAATTATAATGCTATTAAACTTTCTGGTTATTCCATTACAAATACTACACAGAAAAATAAAAGATGACCTACCTACCTATTTACCAACTTAACAAAATTTATTTCAGAAATAATTTAAAATAATCAAACTTTTATTTATACACCTTGGTCCACCTACTATAAAAAAAAGTATCTTCTTATTATATATTTTGATTGAAATAAGTATTCAGGTAGAAATGTTACTCATAGACTCATAAAATATAAACAAAAAATCTTCCCCATCATAGAAAAACCAATAGAAAATTTAAATTCATTAAGAATTCTTTTTATAAAACCTGACACCTTATTTACCTTTCAGTAATATGATCAATGTGGGCTCTAAGACACAGTGGAGAAATGAGGATGAAACCAAAATTGCAAACATCACTATCACCCCCTGGTGAAGGACAGTCATTAATTAAGTAGGAAAATAGATGAGACATAGATCAACATTTTTCAATGCTAAGAGATAACCCAATATTTTATATTTTTCCATTAGAATATTACGTTTTAAATTCCATAACTAATAAATACTGAGTAACATACAAAAGCGATGCTTAAACTAGCTTAATTTTGATTTTAGAGTAAAAGTACCTATTATAAAATTTATAAAAAACAATATTTTGGAGGGAATATCATGTGTTTTTTTGAATTATGTACTATTTAAATAACTATAGTTATTAAAAAAAAGCAAAAAAATAAATGTTTTTGTATCTTTTATATTGAGCTGTATATTTTGAATAAAACAAACTCTATGACATTTCCTCCAAAATATTGTTCTCTATAAATTTCATAATATGTATTTTTACTATAAAATCAAAATTAAACAAGTTTTACTTATTCTGAGTAAACATTGTTTATGTATGTTATCTGGTAGTTAAATCGAGTCCTCTGTTTTCTGTTGAGTTTTGATTTATAATAAAAATATAGTAATTGACTTTTGGTAAATTTGGCCTTCTGTTTTTCTAAATAAGATCCACTACTAAGATCGTACTAATACCAACTTTGGTTAAACTATGTATATTTCTTTTTGTCTGTATTAAAATTATTATGATAACCCTTTGGAAAATCAAAAAATGACCTTTATAATGCACCAACTAGTTAAAATGTTCTGGTGTTACAAACATCAGAGCAACATTTTTTATAGAAAAGTTTACAGACAAAAAGAAACTAGATCCAAAATGCAACAAAAAAGATCTCTTGTTATTTTTTGATTAGAGAAAGATTTCAAGTAGAAAAGTTGTTCACACACATAAATATTGTTAATTAATAGAACCCTACCTATGCTCAGAATCTAAAACAAATGTCAAATTAAACAACTGAACAAACATACTTTTCTACTGTTTGGACAGTAACACCATGTAAACAATGAACTTCTACATTAGGTGGTCCAAAGTCCACAAATTTTTTGACATCTTGATACATTTCATAGCCGGTCATATAGTTAATACTCCTGTATGGAACTCATATATCATTGATAAAATGTATACACATATATTTTATTACAGTCATTGATTAAATAAAGTCTTAAATTAATATAATATAGAGGTGGGTGGATTTCAAAATTAAGCAGTCAAATAGATCTTTAGGTCTTTCATTGATTTTGAATGAAACTTATTTTGAGTGTATCACTGACATATACCTACTGAGTTACTCACTAAAAACAAATTTTAATTTGGATCTTAATGCAGTCCATGCTCATTTCCATATGGTGACATATAGTCATGCAACCAAATAAGACTGGTATAAGGAAAAAGGAGCTAAGCAATATGTAAAGGCTAAGCGGCATGGTGTATACTATGGGACAGATAACTATAACATAACAGACACAAAGAATTCGATCACAGGATCGGTAGTGTTTCTAGGACCATTTAGCAATGAGATATTTAATTTTTATTTTTTGGTACTAGCGACAATTATTGAAAGAATTGTAAAAAAGTAGGGATCAAGCACCTTGGATGTAAATGACACTAATGAAAATTGTATTCACCGAGCAACAATCATGATTATTATAATTATTATAAGATAGGTATCGAGTAAAATCTGTCATAATATTTTTGTTTTTCGTGGTGAATGGTGACTGACTAAACAATGAAAAAAAAGGAAAGGTAAACATATTATTAAATTATAATATATTTACCTTTTCCTCTAGTATTTGTGAAGTTTAATTGATTTATACCTGCAAATTTCGTATGCTCATTTAAAAATGGCAGTTTATATTATTCATGATCAATGGATTATGATTTTATACATAAGATAAATAAATTTGGTAGTTATTGCATAACTTTACTTTTATGACAATATCATTATAATTTGTTGATTGGGTTGATGAATCATCATCATGAAAACTTCAATATATAATAGTAATAGTTTATGAACTATAAATGGAAGGTCAAAATATTATAAACCACATTTATTTTATTATTTTAATTTGATACTCTAAATTTTAAATAGTTTTGTCAATAAACGTGTTCTATTTTTTTTTTTTTTTTTATAATAACATACTTACAAAATATAATCAATAGACCTAAGTATTTATTCAAAATAAAAATATTATTATTACAGCAAATTAAAATAAGGGTACAAGCACACTACAAAAAAAAAAAATCAGTGCTAAGCGACAAAAAATGGTAGGTTTTAACCAAAGTGCATTGTGTTTAAAAGTTAACATTTTTAAAATAACTAGTATCAAGCCATTAAAGTAATATAAAATAGAATTAAAATATACAATATCTTCATTTCTAAAGCTTAAATAAATACTGAAGTTAAAGAGCAAATATAAATTTTGTTTCTGCCTCCTGAAAAGTAATAAAACTGTCACTTAACCCTTTTTGCCTTTTACCAGTCATTATATCTATAGCCATGCTGATAAGTGATTTAAAAGAAAATAGATTCACTTAATGATAAGAGTAATATTGAATTAAGAAACAAAATGACAGAAATTACTAAATCACTTGACTCATTCAAATGACCAAAAGTTCCCACCTCTAGTAGTCTTTGATATTCAATCAACTTTATAGATTAAAATACTCACTCAAAAAATGATTTAAAATCCCCTACTGTAAAGTTTTTTGTATCAGTTTCTATTAATACTTCATTTGGCTTCCAGAAATATGGAGAAGGCAAAAGCCATGCTAAACTTGGAGAAGTAATTTGTTCAGTTTTAAGAACACTACCACTGAGTACATAAACTCCTAGGTCATCACCTGTTAAAAATAAAAATTACATAAAATTTCAAACCACTTTTTTCTTTCTGGTTTTATATAAACATATATTGTTCTTTTAGCATACCTACGGCAAAAACTTTTAGTGCTTTGATAGCACCACCCCAAACACCTGCTAATGAAACCAATGCTCTGACATATTTGTCTTTCCATTGTTGAGATTGTGCTTGCAGAAATTTCAAAGTCATACAACCACCCATGCTGTGCACAATGAATACTACAGGTGTGTTGTTATTTTGAAAGTATGTTTCTTCTGTCAAGATTTTTAGATTTACAAAAAATTCTGAGTTTTCATCTATGTGGATAAAATCAATAATTTATTAATAGGTACATAATAAATAGCTATTGTATTCCATTTTTGTTTCTTACTAGGAGCTTTTCGAAAATCGTAAGGCGCTCCACGAATAGAAACTTCTCTTTCCAGACCAGAACCAACTAGTATGTCACTAATGCTCTTGAAATAAGCACCAAATGTAGACAAACTAGGATCAATGTATTCAACAGCTGACGAATTTCCCCATCCGGGTATTCTAATATCTACGCCTAAAGGACTATGAGTAGTACGAGTGATGTTGTCATATTCCAGCCTCATATTATCTATCTATATATCATTAGATTATTAGACAAGATTATGAACCAGTTAATATATATTGCATAAAATTTCAAATTTAATAGGTACTTACCAAACAATCTATTATGTATGGCATTAACAATTCGAGATTCAACCAAATGTTTGAATAATCCGTGGTTTTTTTATCACATAAATAATGAACAACATTAGTCTTGTTCAATTTTGCATCAATACGACTACCTCCATCTCCTGGAACTGAAAAAAAAAAGTTTAGTTTATTTTTTAATTTTTTATTTGATACTTGAATTAATTAAAAAACACTTAAACCATTGATACTTGGCAGTAAAAACTCCTGGTCATTGAATAATGACCATTACCTATTACTTACATGGTCATTACCTAATGAATAAGTACCTAATCATGAATTATAGTACTACCTATTTTAAGTATATATATAATATTGATATATATCACATATCAATATATTTTAAAAATATATCTGTAAAAATCCAAGTTTGCAATATTCTATCACATTTTGAACATAAACAACACTATTTGCTATGTTGATGAAACCTTATTAATTATTATGCTTTTGGGTTCTTGAAAATACATTTTCTGTAAATTAATTTTTATTTAGACGATATTTTAAAATTTTGGTTCAAGTTAAAATGTCATACCTACTGTAACTATATACTTAATGTAAATAAGTAAGAGATATAAATGTATCTACATTAAAATATGATAAGTATAGATAAAATATTTTCACTTTCTTCTATTTATGCATGGTCAAAGATATTAGTCAACAATTTAAATTTATTTATATAAAACAAAGGTATATGCACACAATACTTTATAGTTCATACCCAGTGTGTTGGGGGAAAGTCAGGGGTTATATACACCTCCCATTGGCTTAAAAGAAAAAAAAATGAGTAATCTAATGTTGAAATGCATAAATTTCAGTCAAGTTATGAGGAAAAATTAGACATATTGATTAGAAATTGAGGCTTTTTTTAGGAAATTTTTACAAATATTTGTATGAACTTTATGGACTTAAAATTTAGACACAAAATAAATGCCTTTTTTAGACATTTATCAAAGTTTTCTACCAGAAATCTTGCTCAGACATATCTACATGGTACTTTAGGCAAAACTTGTTTTTATTTACTCAGGAGTTTTCCCATTAATAAGGAAAACCGGGGAAAAATCTGAAAATAGATACAATATTAAACAATTATTATTAAAGAAAATGTATAATGCATTTGTAATCATTTTACCACAAAATAACATATATATTGTTGAAAAAACTACACTGTCAACTGAACTCCGATCAGAATCGTTTTTTTGTTAGCAATGGTTAATTGTTGCGTACAAATATACATTTTATTTTCCTTCTACTACCTTTCCAATTTCCCACTAACAATAGTGGCTCTGAAATTACCCCTTACCAAAAGTAGACTGAGAGCAAGACAAAAACCCGTAGAATTGTAGGGTGCATACTAAATTAGCAAACCGTACAATTAATAAATCAATTGGTGATAACTAGCCGAGTAGATATTACACTATTACTCACCCAAGATGACCGGATATTTGGTCGAGGACTTGGCGGTGACGGTGGTAGCCAATAGCCAAAGGATGAACAGCATTATAAAATTAGTAGAAATCGTTTTTCGGGGTATTCAACAGACAAATCTCGATGGTAATATTAATCTGTTCAAATTACATTATGATAGATCATCACGGTAAGTACAATTCAAACCACCACCTACTTGGCCATACGCATTTTTAAACTGCTTCGTTTTTACTTGATATCCACCAAACGATGTCCTCTATTCAATTCGAGGACATCGATGTCCATAAAAAACGTTTGGTCCGTTTGTGTCGTTAGTGAGAACATTCGTAATAGCAAAAACGTTATCACACTTTGTGTTTCTTATTATCACACGCCGCGACTACCAGTAATTATTACCAAATACTATAGATCTGTAGTATTTGTTATTGCGAATGTTTTAAAACAATTAATATTTAAAAATTATTAATTAATCAATTCGAAATTTTAATTATAATAAAGTTGCGTAAGTTTTGCACGCGTTGTAACTTGTAAGTGCGGAAGGTCAAGACATAATTATGAAATTCGTCTTACGATTGTTATAGAACGTCACGAACCTTTGTGGCTTTGTCCGTCGTGTTCGGCAACGAAAATATGGCCATGAAGGCTGGCGGTCAGTAGTAGGAGGACGTCACGTGAATCGTAATGTTTTCGCAGCTGTCGACTGTTGTTGTTTGGAATAATATTGTCAAATATTATACAAAAGCTCACAGTTTTTTTTTTTTACTGTCTTATTATTTCATTTCTGGTTACAATACTCTTATAATACTAAATAATAATACTCTTCCAATACTTAAACCTTAAACAAAATATAAGTGGTTACTTAGTGGAAGGGAGGGAGTTCAACCCCTCCAAAAGTTTGTGTTATACTATGCTATATCAAATTACCTACACAATATAACACCACATATCATTTAATACATTGCTATGAGCAGGGGCAGACTTGGCCGATACGCTAAAATGATGCACGTATACCTATACTTGCCTATTCCTATAATATGATGAGTTGTATACTCTAAACATTGAATAATATACGTATATACACAGCGAAAACATTATCGAATGTACCGACACGGTAATAATTCCATTACCTATATTTTTGTTCTTACCTACTCTAAGGTAGATATGAGCTTGTTTTTAGTGACCAGAAAAACAAACGTGTCACGTACGGGGATCCTCCCTTTTAAGAACTCTTGCACCGTCTTAGCGGATGTTTTGAAATTAAACCAACTTTCAACTAGGAAGTTCCATGATTATTATTAAAACCTAACCCCCCCCCCATCTAAATATTTATGAATTAATCTACCACTAGCTCACATATATTATTGGTATATAAGCGCTTGCAAAAACGACAATGTAAAAATATCCGAAATCAGATTTATATTTGTTTTTATTTATTTATCATAATTAGATAATACTAGTATAATATTTTTGGAAAAAAAAAAAATAATTTTTCTTTTTTCATGAATTATTGGTTAAAGTTGGCCTCTGGCCTGAAGTTTTAAAACTGCGAACTGTTCTAGTGGCCTGTGACATAGCTAATTCGCCCCTGGTTATAAGCACCTTCCAATTAGTAATTGTAGTTAGTTTAACTTAATGTACTAGGTATTAATATTATTAAGATTCTTAGAGATTTTTAATTAGGTAAGAGGAGAATATTTATATTACACTGTAGAAATTATTTCTAGAATTATTATCTATGTAGTTATTGATATAGATACCTATTTCAAAAACGATTTTTAACTATATCTATAGAGTACAGTATATAGATAATATATATTTGTTAAGTATTATAATATAGGTAAGTACACAACTGAATCGTTAATAACTGCAATAAGGGGAAAATTACACTTTAATAAATTTTCATTAGGAAGGAACAAAAACCCAAGTGATTAGTACAAACAAAATTTTCTTTTATACACTAGATTACGATTAGGTAGATACCGACATAATATAATTAGGTACGTAATATATGTATATTCTTAATTTTATAATTTGGATTTTTCACCAACTTTATTAATAATCATATCATTATCAAAACTATAGAGAATCTGTTTTTCAATTGCCATCAACATGAATAACTCTTAGTGTCCAGTTGTCATTGAATTTCTCAAACGGTTTTTTACATATTTTAAAGTAGAAAATTACCTTTTTTAATTTTTCCATTAAAAACATAGCGAAGAATAATAAAACATTGATCCATCACTGATACGTTTTGAGTGGTATCAATTAAGACCAAAAACATATTAGCTGTTGAGTTTTGCTCAGATATTATTTGTTTTATTATTAACGAAATTGTTGAGGTGATACTGTCAATGGAATGATGGCTAAGAAAAGTCACACAATTGCCTCTTCCTTTAAATCCTTTTAAATTAACGTTTTCACTTTTATTAATAATTATATTTAAATGTTCATTTAACACTGCATCATACTTACTCAACAATATAATCATTTCCAAAAAGGTACCGTGGTCTAATGCAGGATCTCTTAGAAAATATGCTGCATCATTACGTTTTCCCCTAACGCTTAAACCTCGTTTTCCTATTATTTTAATAACTTCAATTATTCGTTCTAGGATCTGCGATTTTTGTTTATTTCTTCACGATGTAGATTTATTTGATTACTATTTAATAAACTATCAATATCTTTTTGATGACAGTGCATGAAATAGACATCACAACATTGTACATGACTTTTAGTATTTTCATGTTCGGTGATTCGTTTTTAAATATGTCTCCAGTCGGTTATTCCACAAATAAAAGGGTTAGTTTCTACCGAGAAAGCTAAACAAACTGAACAAAACACTTCCCTGTTGATTTTATTTGTTGAGGGTTGATTAATTGGGGTGGTTTCATTTCTATTTTCAGAGTTTTGTTTTCGTCTCAAAAGAGTTCAAAATCGTCGACTGAGTTGTTTGCCTAGTTTTGTTTCTGAACAAAAAAAAAAAAAACATTATAATATTCTACGTTGTTCAAAAAACTCAGAATCTAAAATTTTATTTGATTAAATATTACACCAAAATATTCTAGAATCTAGAGTAATATAAGAATAAAAACTATGTAAGTTTTGAATAAGGCTATATATATACTGCTTTGTATAAATAAAATAATACAAAAACAAAAATTTTGAAATGTTTTTTATCATCATTGTGGTTATAAATTGGTATAATAATAGATAGCTGTATAAAGAGGGTATACCACTAACGGAAATGTAACGGTAATGTACAAATGTTTGGTAATCAATTCTCATGGAAATCTTTGGTAATTTTGCAGGAAATCGGATATGAAATCTTGGTAATCATTAGGAATCTGTTATATTTTGGAAGCTGGACCTGGTGTATAAAATATTAATAATTATAATTAATAATAATATTAATCAATGATTTACCCATAGACTTATACATCTAGATTCTAGAAATCTAGACGAAAGTGTTGGTCCGAACGGATCAAGAGAGATTGGCTGATATAAAGCCTATCGCGTAGAGATGGGCACTTTTTCAGGATCAAAAAATAATGGGGAAAGTTTATTTTATAAACATTGTTTAACTTTATGACGACTACACATAATGTCATGACGCTTTAAAGTAGGTAGTAAAATCTTGAAATATATATTTAATTTACCTATATCGAATTCATTCCTATAAATATCATATTATTTAATTGCATTATTAATGTCCATGTTATGTACCTAGTTGTAAAGTTGTGAGTAGTGGCTTTATGTGTAAGTTTAAATGCATAACTATACAAGTAATAAGTAATTTAGTATATGCTAACTTTTTGTTTCACTCATTTTAAAATAGAAAAAACTACCAAGCATTTAAAACAAAAGCTAAAACAATGAATCATAGAACATGAAACACTAAACAGCCGTAAGAACGTGAAATCGAGTTATTTAATGTACTAAAACGATCTAAGACAATATACGATCGGGAAAATAAATTAATAGTGATAACTGATAACACACTATTTTGGCAGTACAAAGTTGCTAACAGTATAAAATTACAGTATTACAAATTAAGATTGTTTAAAGAGAAACGAGGTTACAATATAGATATGTATACGTATTATTACTATTATCTATATCTGTGGAATGCATAGAGATTAGATAAATTAAAGACAATTAAACATTTTCTCCGAATTTTTGTTCCGATACATACGTTCGACACCATTTCTGAAAGGAAATATTTTCTAAATGATACTTTAGAGAAGTCTTTTTTTGATTTTCCAAGCGGTTTTCACAATATCTGGGAAAAACCAGGATAAACCGTAAAAGAAAAACGTTTTTGAAAAATGCACGTAAATTAATACTTAATGCTTTTAATATTTTCAATATTATTATTTGTTGTAAATCAGTTAAAAATATTCGTGGAGACTTGAAATTTGGATGAAAAACTTATATTTTACTTTTCTAGACATTTTAAAAATATTTAAGCTATTTTTAAGCTTTTATAAAAATTTAAATCTTTTGTCGAAAGTTACAAATATTCGTATAAACTTTATGAACTTGAAATTTGGATACAAAACAAATGCCTTTTGTAGACATTTACCAAAGTTTTCTACCAGAAATCTTGCTCAGATATATCTATATGATACTTCAAGCAGGACTTTTTTTGATTTTCCCAAAAGTTTTCTCAATAATTGGGAAAAAACTGAGGAAAAATGAAAAATGTACGAAATGTAGGTATTAATAAAAAAAAAATTACGGCCTTTTTTTCCTATGAACAACATTTCTACTAGCAATTTTTTTCCGATGTACAATGATACCACTTTTTCTGAAAGGAAATCTGATTGGGGAGGTACTTTAGGGAGGTTATTTTTTGGTGTTCCTAGGAGTTTTCCCATTAATAGGGAAAAAAGTTAAAATAGTTACAATATTAAACAATTATTATTAAAAAGAATGTTTAATGCATTTGTATTCATTTTAACATAAAATTACATATATATTGTTGACACTATCAACCGAACTCAAATCAAAATCGTTATTTTGTTAGCAATGGTTAATCGTTACGTACAGATATACATTTGATTTTCCCTCTACTACCTTTCCAATTTTCCACTAACAATAGTGGCTCTGAACTTACCCCTTACCAAAAGTAGACTGAGAGTAGGACAAAACCCGTAGAATTGTAGGGTTCATACTAAATTAGCAAACCGTACAATTTGAGTTAATAAATAAATTAAACGGTGATGACTAGCTGAGTAAGTATTACACTATTACTCACCCAAGATGCCGGATATTTGGTCGAGGACTTGGCGGCGACAGTAATAACTAGCTAATAGCAAAGGAAGAACGGCACCGAACATAAGTAGAAATCGTTTTTTGGGGTAGGTCAGCACTCAGTGAATCTCGATCGTAATATTCGTCTGTTCAAATTATCTATTCAAATAATCTTCGTCCTTTGCTCGATACTCACCACATGATAAAATTAAAATCGCGATTCTGAGTCAACCTCGTTTTACTTTAAATTATTTTACTCTTTTTTTTTTCGTATCAAATACATTTTTTATAACAAATTTTGTCCTAATTAAAGAACTTTATAAGAAATTTCTTTTATAATTTTTGATTTCTTTGGCGCTTTGAGAAATACATTTTTTTATTTTCTTACAGAACATTATTAACAAAACTAAAAAACCTGAACATTTTTGTGTTTTTTCTTTGGTAAAAACCGAAAAAACGAATAGTTTGATTAGAAACGTTTTTCCTTCAATAATGGTTTGTCGTGTTCAGATGGAAATTAAATTATTAAACATGACAATAAGCACTTTCACTAGATAGAATAGAAGTGACTGTTAATATTTTGTGTAATTGAAACATTTTCATTAAAACTTTTCCGAAAAATTATCGCTACTTTCTTAAATAGGATTCTTAATTCATTATAATAAAAAATTGTGTTCACGATTCGTATTTTATCGAAAATTACACATTTTTTTAACAGGTTATACCTAATCAAATATTATAGTAATGAATGAGCAAAATCGAAAATGTTGTACTTCATCTTAAACTATTTAGAAAAATTATTTTTTCTCCTCTGTATTTATAAAATATTTTGACCGATTGAAATTTTAGGGATGATGACTGACACAAATTATCTATTGTAATATGATGCCGCGACCGACTACAGTTAGGGGCATGGAGACTGTGTGACACAAGACACGTTATTTATGTATCTAATAATATAGATAAAATTTCCATAATTAATTTATTGTAATTTAAATATTTACGACAAACGGATATCTTGTATAAAAACTAAATAACGAATATATATTATAATTTATGTTTTTTTTTAAACTGAAACCGGTTGTATCTTCTAATTTTGATTAGAACACGAAAAAAAAACAGACATACCTCGCACGATGGATGGGCTTATGTAGGTGAGAAATTGGTTGGTAGAATATTTTAGAGAATGCAATGAATGTATTCAACGATTAATCATTGCTAACGAAAACGGCAGTTTTCCTTTTCCTTTTCTTTTTTTTTTACCCTCTTCGACCGCGAACCGGTGGCATTTTACATCTTTTCTCGTCGTTATTCTCAGAATTTTTTCCCGTCGGATAATTACCCATATTATATTATAAAGTGTGGAAAATTCCCAAAAACGGGAGGAAAAAAACTGCGAGTTTTTCGGTATAAACTTTTTATATTATATTATTTGCAATTTAAACACGCGATTTATATAAGATATATGAAAATCATACAATATATTTCTTACGCCGAGGAACACCCGAGATTATAATTCGGCTGGCATCAATCATCAGACCGGATCGTCATTAGCTCTTGATCAGGGACAAAACTTGGGTCGCCACCATAAAGTACAAGGACAGAATCAGGGCATAGTGCACAGCCACACCCACGCTGCCGTTGTTGCACTTATCGTCGGTGCAGGATGTGCACAATTCCAACACGGTGATCCCGGTTAGGTTTTTTGACAAGTTCACTATATCGGAACAGTTTTTTGATGCTTCCATGCACCCGCGTTGAGTGCCATTTGCAATTACACCTGCGAAATGCGTACAAATAGCCAGTTGGTGATTATCATTGGTATTATTTTGGTCTTAATCATTATTACCAAGGGAGTTGTTGAACGAAACTTTCACGGAAAAGCATTGGTAGTCGACCGTAGCAAGAAGGTCGACTGACCGTGCCAAGCGACGTGCGTTGAGGTTTTTAAGACCGTGACTCGCCAGCCGCTGTATTTCTGCTGGTGCCACCGTTGTTGGTGCTGCCGTTGTTGCTGCCCCTGGTACTGCCCCTGGTACTTCCCCTGGTACTGCCCCTGGTACTGCCGGTGACGCACCACCCGCTGCTCCACCCACAACTCCCGTCGCGCACTCCATAGTAGGTGTGTTGTCCGTCACGGTGTTGCACGTATCGTTTTCGTGATTGCAAACGTAACATTGCAAAGCCATAGTTTTGACTGCAGAAAAAAAAATGACAATCGGTTTAGTTAGGTATTGAATGGGACGGGAGGGGAGACTAGAACATTAGTAAAATACTTACGGCTACCAAACATTGTAGCGTATGAGAAGAATAAAGCGAATGTCAAGAATATAAATTTATTTGTGCCTATCATGATTGTTTTCGGATTGAGAGCTTCGGTAAATATAATATAATATGCACGGTTATATTTTATAAATGCAAATTGTACGCTACCGAATATAACGCAGTGTTATATTATAATAGCAGAGAAGTCTTGGTCTTCGACGACGAATGCCAGGAAAAAAACAATAGTTAATATTGAAACACACAAGACGACGATCAAAGGAAAACAAATTATAAAATTCAAATTAGATTAAATAATTATTTTTATTTTATATTTGTTCTCCGGAGATCATCACTTGACGAGGCGTAGTCACAGAATGAACCAAATTTGTCGGTTTTCGGGTATGTTGATTCCGTTATTCCATGTCTAGGGTCACCAGCTGTTTTGTATCAGCCAGCTATTAGAGCAACGTTCTGTTTGTTAATAATAACAAAAATTTCACCACCGGCGGCCAACACATTTTTTTTTTAAACGCATGAGCTATTATTTTAATATAGTATCACCGATTTTGTTTAAATTTTTTTTATCAATATTATTGTATTTTTAGAGCATTTTTTTATGATGGTTTTCTTTAACACACAGTAAAGTTCATTGTTTGCTGTGTGATACCGTCAAGAAAATAAATGGTAAGTGATTTCATATTAGTAAACTTATTTGTAAAATATTTTATTTTATGTATAGGAATATAAGAAATACTTCCACTGATATGAAGAGGTGGTAATTGGGAAATATCCAAAATTTAAAGAAAATGTGTGGTCTATCTCAGGGATCCGGACATTTTTTCGTGTAAATGAGCAATTTTTTTTGCACTGGTCCAAATTAAATTCTTTCTTACAAAATTCTGTAATATCAGTGCAAATATTCTCTCCTCTAGTTTGACCTTTAAGTGTTAATAAACCCGGTAATTCTTCATGAACACATGCAGATGAAATATATCGTCTCATTAAAGAGAGTTTTGCGATGATTTTAATGTGATATGATTTATCACAAGCTAAGGGAAATATAGGCGATGAATTCAGAAAATAGATGATCTGACATACCAATAGCTTGAAAACATTTTTTTTTTTATTTTCAGTTAGGTACGTTATTAATTTATTATATTACCAATAGAATCGCATTTAGATAAAAAATAACGTACAATATTTGATTTCTTATTATTCCTGAAGTTTTCATCACAAATGAGACATTTTGGTTGTCCGATATTATAGTGTTTTGGATAAAAGCAGAAGTATTAATCCACTAACTTCGAAATCCTTTATTTTCATCTTAAATTTTACACTTTTTGTTTCTAGTCATCTTGTTTACAATATTGGCATGCCATGTTGTAAAAAGGTGAAAAGGTAATAAAAAAAACATAATGGTTGTTGTAAAAACATAAAAAAAAACAAATGGACATACTTTACATGATGATTGAACCACTGTTGTACATGAGAAGTTAGAGGGAGAAAAGGTAGAAGGAAAATTTAATAAATATCTGTACGCAACGGTTAATCATTGCTAATGAAAAGCGATTCTGAGCGGAGTTCTTTTATATATATTTTGAAAGCCCGTAATATTTATGATTTGAAAATAAAACATTTAGTAAATGTTCTCGTTTTTCCTATATTTTTTTCCTGGTTTTTCCCATTTATTATGAAAACACCTCAATCAAAAATTATTCACCCAAATAAAATGTCCTACACTAAAAAGCGCTACACTTAAAAATCAAAACAAAATTTCTGATATAAAAGTTATTCAGAGAAAAATAAAAATAAAAAAGACATCCTAGGATAATGGGGACGGGTGCAGCCACTATTATGGATAGTTTAATGTATACCTGTAAGCAACGATAAACCATTGCTTACGAAAAACAATTCTAAGCAAAATTCAGTTGATAGAGATGTTTAATCAACAATATATAATATGACATTTTATAGTAAAATAATTAAATAAGCTTTATATATTTTTTCTAATAATATTTGATATACATTAAATTACTTATAACAGTGAATGCATCTGTCCCCATTATCATAAGACGTCTTTTTTTTTTTATCTATGAACAACTTTTCAACAAGAAATTTTGCTCCAATTTTAAATTCTGAGTAGAGCGAGAGCTTATGGTTTTACAAATATGTTTTTTTTTTCTGTGGATAACTTTTCTACTTGTAGACATGCTCCGAATTTTACGTATAGCAACTTTTCTGAAAGGAAATTTCACTGGGAGGTAGCTTTTCAATTTTCTCAAGAGTTATCTCATTAAATGTGAAAATCTGGGATAAAACATGGGAAAATCGGTACAACATTAAACAAATATTATTGAATAATATATATAAAACTTATTTAATTATTTTACTATAAAATTACATATTATATATTGTTGACAAAGTATCACTATCAACTGAACTCCGGTCAGAATCGTATTAAGTAAGCAGTGGTCTATCGTTGCTTACAGATACAAACTATTTTTCTTCTATATTCTACATTCCCAATTTCTAACCAATAACAGTGGCTGCATCCAACGTATTAAGTGTGTCCGTCTTTTTTTATGTACGGAGTGATCACTCTATCATAAGACACCTATTATCTCGCAGAGTATTAACTTTTTCCGGAATTTATTTTCTTGAACATTTAAAAAACAAGCTGCTCTACAATTTTATAACTATATTATTTTTTGTAACTCTTATTTTTGGGGGTAAAACCACTACCTACTTTTGATTTTCAAACGGAAACCTATATTAAAAATTCCATAAATAGATGGATTGTTATTTAAAATAAATTGTAATGTTGAAATTTTTGATTTCCATCAATCCATTAACGAGATATTCCACTTTTAAGTTCTGGTTGGATAAGAGTAGTGGAGTATCATTTGTGCACTACAAGGCGCAACGTGTTAATAATGTACTACCACGAATTGACGGAAATCAAAAATATCAATACCAAAATGTATTTTAACTAATACTTCATCTATTTACAGAATTTTTAATATAGGTTTTCATTTGAAAATCAAAAGTAGGTAGTAGTTTTACCTCCAAAAATAAGGGTGACAAAAAAATAACATAAATATAAAATTATAAAGCAACTTGTTTCTTAAATATTCTAAAAAACAAATTCCAGAAAAAGTTAATATGTACTCTCCGAGATAATGAGTGTCTTACGATAAATTGATCACCATGTATACCTACCATGAAAAAATAATTTTAATAATAATAATAATTTATTTTATCATGATGTTCACGATACAATTGACATGTGCAAAAAAGTTAATAATTGGGCGATCATTATAGATACAATTTTATTTTATTTTCACCAGACATAAACATCGTAAAACCCATTATATAATAATTTTATATAAAAGTCCAAACCAAATAGTTTCCAAACCAACGCCATTATTCAATCATTTTTTAGACCTAAAAAGTCTTAAGAAAAATACAAATCCTTAGGACAAATCGATTTATAACCTGTAAACAATTTTTGATAAATCAACTTTTTTCTTAGGTTATTGTGGAATCAGTACGTTAAAATAATTTTTCAATACTTCAGAGTATTGAAATTTAATTTTATATTTTAAATTTCAAAAATGAACGTTTTTAACATAATATATGTAATAAAAAAAACCGAAAATCCATTTCTATAATAACATAAAAATAGTGTTGATGTATTCAAAACTTTTTTCAGTATCGCTCTAAGTATATGCATTGGTCAAATTTTTGAGCAATTTATAGACGTTTTAATTTTGCGAGTCGTGTACGTAATTTTTATTCGGTAGGGTACTTACTATGTGGATAAAATTGTTAGACCAAACAAAAATGCTTGAGAATTTAACATAAGGTTCATTAAAAGTGGTACCTTGTAGTAAAACAAATTTGAGCAGAAGCTTATTACTTTTAAATATTTATCGAAATAAAAACATTAATACAGAAAATATTGTTGATCAAACCGCTTTCAAAACACTACTTAAAATAAAAGTATTTTGGACTTAGTCATCTAACTTTTATTAATTATTATTATTATTAATTTTGTTATTCATATTATCATTATTTTAATTATTATTTATTTAATTTGGAAAAAATAAATTTTACTTTTAAACTGTACTCATTTACTGCATTTGTACAATATATCTGTATTCTTTTAAGCTAATATCAGTTGAAAAGACATCAGACATAAAGGTTTAAAGTTTTGTTAACCAAAGTGATGGTATTCAAGAGTAAAAATTGTTTGCCCCCCAACTCCCCATGAAATTGACACCTCTGCCCAATAGGTTAGTACATTGTACTCAAGTCTTCGACACGTCTTTTTCTGTAACGTATTTTATTTTGACTGTATGCAGTTTCAGAATTTAAATATTTATTTGATGAAACCGATGTTGAGGTCATTTTGTACAAAATCATCTTTAAAGTCATTACCATGGGACATTAAAATGTTATCTGACAAATTTTCAGCATCCACACTTTTTCAATTTCTATATATAAATACATTTAATATGCTTCCTAATAAAGAAATACCTGAAACAACAATAAAACTAACCTATGTATTAATGGTTACGAAGTATATCCTTTAAAGGTTTTTCTTATGAAACCTTTTTCTAGTTGGAATCTCAACTATATCAGAGAGAATTATATTAAATGTTTGTCTGCATCCAGGAAATACGTAAAATGTGCATTTGGCGTATTACGTGTGAAATGGCAAATTTTGAGAAAAGACATTGAAGTAAGTTCCGATAAAGCTGTACACATTATTAAATATATTTGTATTCAACATAATTTAATTCGTATAAAAGATGAAGATAGTGATTTAGATTACTATCAAAAAATTATACGTCAATCTCATGGAAACCAAACAAATGAATTACAAGAAAGAGATAATCACGGTGGTGCTCGTAGAGGATCAACCAAAACAAATAAGAGATGAATTTACTAATTATTTTTTAAAATATTAAATATTTTTTTATTCTATTGTACAGTCGCGTTTTGTTAATGCAACTCGTATGTTCTGCGATGAGTGCCGAAATTATGCGTTGTGTTTAATAAACATTTTTGTCGCTCTCGACGGAAATGTCAAGTGTAGTAACATAAATTATCAAGAGCATGCGCGAGATGGCACCGGCCGTATTGCGGAATGGAAACGCCTGGTAAAATTTTAATTAATGAAGCAATTTTGGTTCAAATATAACATGAAAATAAAAATTAAATAAACTTGTAATTGAATTAGAAGTGAGCAATGCACAATTACATAGCGAATTGTTAAATCTTTAAGTGATTAACATTAATAATCCTAATAAAAATAAAAACCAAAATAATACGGAGATAGACAAAAACTCGGGTTCTAAATCAGATGTTTATTCAAGCCTAACAAAAATAAAGGTACAAGCGAAAGGATATATTAGTAAAACAATCGCTAAAGTTTATAAATCATCACAAATTACAGCCTGTGGTATCAAAAACATAAAACAACACGCAGCCATCTAAACGGTTATACGCGCGTTTTGTGGCGTGCTAACACACGTGTACGCGCGTCCATGTGAACCTAGTCTTAAAATCTTCCAAGATACTCACCGTACTGGTTCATGATAAAAAAAATCATATTTTTTTAGAACAATTTTAAACCCCTCTATAAAAAATTTGAAAATACGCCATTGTTACTGAGTAAAGAGGAATTAAAAAATAAAGTTTCTTATAAATATAATTTATTATTTTATTAGAAAACAATCAAGTGAGAAAAATCAACTCAAGTAGTTTAGGCTACCCCTTAACAATATTAAAATATTTAGTATAGGCATCTTAATGTGCGTGGTACCATTTTTCTCTTATCACTTGCTGAGTCATTATAAACTTTGAGCTTCACATTTTACTTGTTTATGATCGTTTTGTTTTCGTTATCGTCATTCGCCACAACCCCACTCAAAAACCGGTGTTATTGTAGTTTAATAAACCACAATGGTAATGTAAGTATAAGTAATATTATAACATTTAATTGCATTTTTGTTTTGGCTTGTTACTCAAACGTTACCTACTCAATGGCGTTCAACGTTGATGGAGCCCCTGCTGTCGATCTAAATGACCGAGAATGCGACGAGGAATTATTGGTGGTGAACGTACAAGTAATCAAAAATAATAATAATTAACGACGTTCTTGAAAATAACCTATCTTTCTTTTATTTAGGAAGAACATGGAAAAAAAATGCACAGTTTGTGTGAGGTGTTGAGCGCGTTACAAGCGAACTTTGATCAGTTCACCGAAAGCTGTTTCGAAGTTAACAGTGAGTATACTTAGGTACGAAATAATAACTTATACTTAGACTAGGATGTTGTAGTCATATATTTTTATTAGAAAAAAAATTAAGAGTTTTAAATGATTAAAAGTGTACAAACATTAACCCTATTAGTTAAAAGTAATAAATATTTATGTTAGTCCCCATACGGGTTAGTGTTAGTATATGAGTTAATATATTAATATATGAGTTAATATATTTAATACTAATTTTTTGGTAGTTCAAGAGTATAATAGGACAATAAATCAGAATCAACTTAAAATTTTTGTTTTACTGAATTATAAAATTACATAAACTAGAAATAATTAAACCAGATAGATATATTTTAAAATCAGACATCAGTAGTACTATATTATTTTTTTGCAGAAAAACATTTTTCCTAAATTTAATTTTCAACATAAAATAATATTATACCAACTATTTGGATAAGTATACATACTATCCTGTATAATACATTTATTATATCAGTGAGTTTTTAAATTATGTTATTAAATTAAAGAATTTTTGTGGCTCTTCAATGTCCAAAATTGAATTAGTCTATAGTTAGTTTTACTGTAAAATTATTTTTACAATAAGCAACTATATTATACATTTTTAAAATTAATATACATCTGTGTTTAAACATTTAGGTAATTAATAATCATAGTAAGAAATTATAAAAATTGTTTTTTGGATTAATGCTTCCCAAACTTTTGTAACTAACAGTGCCTATTTTTAACTAAGAACCTCCTTGAAAATCATTTATATCAACAAATAATTCTAAGTAGAGAAGTATTGCTATTATTAGTTGCCTTTTTCCCATTTTCTCTGGCTAGAAACCTTCAAACCTACAAAAATAAAATATAAAACAGATGTATATTATTATTTATACATTGCTTGTTTGTTTTTTTTTCCACAAAAACCAAATAGAAATTTAGACATTGTTCTAAAATTACCTTTGTGTAAAAATCCTCATATTTTAATTATTAGTATTATATATTAATGAGTAATTTTGGAGAATTTTTACTAACAATATAAATGATTTCCAAAACCACTACTTTAGGCATAAAAAACAAAAAAAAGTGTCCTAGGATAATGGGGACAGGTAGAATCATTATTATAGGTGAAAAGTTAAGAAGGTAGTAGAGGGGAAATGTAATGTATATTTGTAAGTGACATACCATTAATGACGAAAAAAGGATTCTGAGAAGAGTTCAATTGAAAGTGTCGCTTTAACAACAATATGTATTTTATATTATGGTATTATAATTACTTATTTTTTATGTATATTTTCTTTAATAATATTTGTTTAATATTGTACTTATTTTCCCGGTTTCCCCATTTATTGGGAAAACTGGGGAAAATCAAAAATTACCTCCTTTAAGTACCTCCTCAGTCAGATTTCTTTTTGGAAAAAATGTTATCATTTTAAATTGGAGCAAAATTGCTAGTAAAAATGTTGTTCCCAGGGGGGAGGTGGGAAGTGGTGACTTGAAGGCTGTAATATTTTAGATTCTAAGTGGTGCTAAGAAACTTATAGTTTTACAATGATGTTTATTTTTTTATTTTGTGGACAATTTTTCTACCAGCAAATTTGCTCCTATTTTCAATTAAAGTACTTTTTCTGAAAGTAAATCTGACTGGGGAGGTACTTTAGAGAGGTCATTTTTGATTTTCTCAGAAGTTTTCCTAATAAATGGGAAAAACTTGAAAAAATAGTACAATATTTACAAATATTATTCAAGAAAATATATAATGCATATGTAATTAATTTACCATAATATTGTATATATATATAGATTCATTAAATTACCTATAAATTGGCTACACCCATCCCCATTATTCTGAGACAGCTTTTTAAACTAAAAAATAACCTCATTATAGTACCTCCCCAGTAAAATTTTCTTTCAGAAAAAGTGGTATTATTGTAAATCTGAGAAAAATTGCTGGTTTGGAAAGTTGTTTAAAGTTGTTCATCAATAAACATCATTTTAAAATTTAATACATTCCTTGCTCCACTCAGAATCTAAAAATTAAAGATTTAAAATTCTTAAACAGCTTTTATAGTAATTTTTGTAGAGCAGTGTATGCCCATGTCTCTCAAGTTCGTTGGTTTGAAACTAAATGTGGTTTATAATAAATGATTACTAGCAAGAAATAAGAGATGATTATTTTGTGTGATAGAAATTATAAATTGTTTCTAAATGATTTAATTTTTTTTTATTACTATTCCAGATAAACTGAATCAATTGGAAATGGATTGTATTGATGTACTACAACCAATTGATATGATTTTGATGGAAAGACACATTGAACATATATGTGAAATGGAATCAAATTTAAATTTGTTGTATAACATAGGAAATGTTAAAAAATGATTAACTAACGGTTTTTTTTTTTTTTACATTTCTAGAATATTTTTTTGAATTAATAAGTTACTAATTTATTATTTATCTTAAGACAATAAGGCTGTACTATAACCAACCTAAAACTAGCCTCAGTATAGACATACTTAACACTATAGATAGTTCACTATTGTAGCTCACTTATTGCTCTCAACCATACAATAAAGAATCTATAACATAATTTACATTTTACTGTAGTATCTAGTATAATTTTAGTATAGTCTAGGATTGATTCTACTTCAATAGGTGATTCACTTAACATCATGTTTAATTTCTCTTGAACTTCAATGATGTTCTTATTTCAAGGTTAGAAAAAAGTTTTTTTTGTATTTTAAATGTTTTATTTGTTTTGGCTTATGAAGTATGCATTTTAGCAAAATAACACTGTATATTGCAACTGAAATGTTCATATATGATAAATATATACACTTAGAATTTAAAACAAATTACTTATTATGTTTATTTTGTAAATTATACTAACACTAATAAAATCTAATTAGGTATTTATCTAATTTATATATATTTGTATATGTTTTTCTTTAACTTGTTTTGAGTTATATAATGGAATCTTGCAATCCATTTTTGATCCACTTGCTAAAGTCATACCATTTTAATTAGCGAATTCAATAACTACAAAAAAACCAAATGCCGCAGATACATTAGTTTTTCGTAATTATTAGGAATTCTCTACCATGTAAATGTGATCTCACATAATGGCAATGCAGTATTTAAATAGGTATCTATGATATTAATAAGTTGTTATAATTAAAGGTAGCTTGTGAGGGGAGGTAAATCATCAAGTTGATGATTACTCGATAAACTCATCCCCCCTCCAAGACATATATATTGTGTATGTCCAGTGTCCTAGTGAATTTTGACAATTTTTAAGTATATAGGTACAGAGTAATTAAATTATATGCCAATACCCATAGAGCATCTTGGGATTATAAATATAATGAAACATTATGTAACAAAAAATTTGAAGATTTTGAATATAGGACTCATGCTAAACAAAATTGAAACCATATTAATATCATCAGAAGTAAAATTAAGATTTAGAGTGCTACATAAATCTTTAAATGTAATATAGCTTCAAAATTGCAATAAGTTTTGATAATATCTCATAGTATGTGTACATATATTTTTTTTTTAATTTTAAATTTAGAATTTTATAAATCTGTACATAATAATTTACAATAAGCATAAAAGAAGTTTAGTAAAATGTGGGCTTAATTGAGATTGATAGAAGAATATCCAGTGAATGCACTTCAGCAAGGTATTTGTCTGTAATTCATTTATTTTCGTATAATTAAGTTCATAAATTATAGCATTTTTCGCACTTAAAGAAAGATTTCTGTGCAATGATGTAAATAGTATAAACATTTTACCATTTTATGGAGAGATATTGATTTGGTGACTATAAGGACATGAATACTGAATTAATAAAATCACTATATATTGCAGCATATTAAAAATCTCAACATATGGATTACGGGAAATATGCCATCAATGTTTTTAAAACTATACAATATACCAACAAAATTAATAATACAAATTTAATGATACCATGCATTAAGAACTGAATAATATCCCTTTAGTTGATAATGCATCTTTGAATTTAACTAAAATTGAGTACATAAGTTCTCTTTTTGTAAAGCAAGAAAATAATGTACAGCTGTGCAACATTAAATTTAATTAACAAACAGCTAGACTCATTATATGTACAATTTAGTTAGCTGATTAATTTATAAAATGAAATTAAAGGAATTATAAATATTACTTATATAATAAAAAAAAAACCTTTAATAAAACCATACAATATTATAGATGTAAGAACAAACTGACATAAAACATTTTTCATAATACTGTTATGTTAATAATCAATTTCAAAAAATTGAAAACAATATAAATATTATACACACATACATTATAGAAACATAGAAACATTTATTACACAGTTAACTTATCTAATAACATTATTCTTTCATCCTAAGAAAGTGATTAAAAAATATATGAATTTTCTTAGATTCTATTTTATAAATTAATTTTTTCTTAATCCTTTAAATTTCACATTATGGTTATTTGTAACTGGATTTCAAACTCTAGAGGTTTATATGTAGATTCAATTTAAATTATTGTATAATGACTAGCTATATTTATGTTTTATATGAAAATCCAATTAAATATAAAAGAAAGATGTTAAATTGTAAATTTCTATTTAGTTACATGCATACAAAATGTGTACATTTTTCTTCATTTTATTTCTGTGAAAAAAATTTAAGTATTGTACAAGTTATTAATTAGAAGCATTAAATCATAAATATCATATCAAAATTTTGTTTATTTGTTATTTATTAATTAAATACTTCATACTCAATACTGAAGGGTATATTACAAATTGACCTACAAACAGATCAAACATGATTGTTTTATTGAATATACTACCATCTCTACATTTACTGTCTATTAATTAGTTTTCTTATGATAATTATTTAATATAGTATCAAAAATGAAGTTTAAGGAAATTATCATTTGGAAATTTACTCAAAAATGTATTTTGTTTGTTTTAGAAAATATATAAGGAGACACCTCCCAGCAGACAATCACATAGAAAAACCTGGTGATAGTTGAAATAAGGACAATGTGCACAACAAATAATTTGGGTCATTGCAATTTCCTTTATGGTATACATGAATATTTAACCTTATCATTTATTTTTTAATTTTAATCTGACCTGAAAACATGTTGATATTGATACTGTATAAAAAAAATGTGTGTATTATATTTCGTTAATATTATTAGTTTATTCTACTTTAATTTCCTTCTTGTTAAATTAACTTTATAGGAAGTATAAATATAATGATTTATTACCAACCCAATTTGAAGAGATCCACAAGAAATACAATTTTTTTTATGGACTGTTATATAATAATTCTTTTATAATACTGTTATGTTAATAATTATATTAAAATAATTGATATAATTATATATTAATATTATACACCTACACATTATTTTAAATATGCATTACGCATTTTTTTTATATAAATAACATCATTCTCTTATTTGTATAATTAATAAATAAATTATATAATTAAATTAATTTATAAGTGATCAAAAAATATACAAATTTCCTATATCATATTTTTTGAATGAATGTTTTTCTGTATAATTTGTATTTTATATTATATTTTTTTGTTATTGTTTTTTAACCTCTGGAATTTATATATTTATAATTTTATTTATCTATGAACTGTGTCAATTTTTTATTTTTAAATAAATTTAAGTACATAACCATATATTCGGGATTTCCATAGTCTTAATGGTATTATATTAAAGTACATACATATTTTATTCATGTCTACGAGTAAAATTATTCTATCTTGAGAATAATACCTTAACATAGCTTATCAGGTAATCATATCATATCTCTAATTGTTGTAGGTATGCAAATTGATAATCTTGCTGGATAGGCGGAGGTATAATAACTAATATTGGAACATTTGGTATGTATATATTGGTCAGACTGTGCTCGATATACCACAAGGTTTTTGTGTATATTGGTCACACTCTGCTGTATATACAACTTTTTTTTGTTTTGGTCTTTACTTTGTGTATACGTACACCATTTTACTATGACATGGATTTAATTTCATTGTTTTTTGTGTTGAGTACAAATTTTAATATAGTGTATTGATGTTTTCTAGTAGTGTTAATACCTGTACGAACCTTCAAAACCAAGGGTACAATTAAATTTGTATAGCGGAGATCTGTCCATAATACTTTGAAAAGGTATTTTTTATTTTAATTAGAGTTGTTATATGTTAAGATATTATAATATACATGTTTGCTTTTGTTGTTAAGGAATTTTTTTTCATTACTTACTTATGTTGATGTCTATGTGAGACTGGTAGTTTGGTCACATATTACTTTCACCCCCTTGGAATCAAAAAATGATTTCCTTTAGAACAACATAAGATTTGCTTTTAGAAAAAGTCTTACACTGGATACATAGGAGCAAGATTTCTAGTAGACATGTTGCTCACAGATACAAAAAAATTAAAAAAATATAATAACAATAGCGTTATTTTAGTTTGTTAATTACTAAATATGTTTACATAATTATACATATTTTTTTATGTACAGAATAATACAAATTAGTGAATTACCTAAGATATTTGAGATAATTTGTTATATTACATACTAAGTTTATTCTTTATTAATAACTAAATTAATATTTATAATAACAAAAATAAATTTTATTTGTTTATATTTTACTTTAAATTTAAAAAAATTCACCGAGTTGATATGATTTGTTAATTTTTTAAATTAATTTATAATTAATATATCAATATATATTTATTAAAATTTAAAATGTATAGTATTATCATTATTTAATTTTATTTTTACAATCAATGGGCAATGTCCTTAAGATATAATAAGATATACAGAATATAATTAATAATATATAGTAATACAAAGTAATAGAGTAATTAAATACTCAATAAAGAAAGGAGAGGTCCCCATTGGTGAATAACATTAAATGTCTTATTTGTTTGTTTTTCATATAGTTGTATTTGAATTGAGGAATATTAAATTTGTGTACAAGTAGGATTTTGAGGAATTTTAAAGTTGATAGGCGATGAAAGAGCAGGAAAGTCTATAGCATTAGATAACAGACCACTTGCAAAAGTCTTGCCTTACATCCATAGATAGTCCGCTAAGGAGTCTAAGCCAAGAATTTTTAAGACTGGGGTGTAACCAGGAGGGAAACATTCAGTGTTGCACCAAGATAACTAAAAATTTATCTAGATAAGATAAAAAATAATTAGATACAATTTATCTAGATAAAGATAAAAGATAGTTAAAATCTAAATTATCTAAATAAAGATAGAAGATAAAAAAAATATTAGCATAGTATTTTATTAAAGTTTAATGAAAAGACACAATTACTAATTTTGATTAACTTCTAATAACAATATTCTGATTTCAGACTAATGCTGATTGACCAGATTGATTCCAGATAAAATGAATGATTTAAAGATAAAGGGGGATGATTCACCAATTCCGGTTAAAGACATTCAAAGCGTAATTCCAAAAGACAAGTTTAGTATTAATTAATAATATTTTTAATATGATTATACTTGGTAATTAAATAACTGTTAATAGATCACAAATTTTAAAGTGGAACGGTTGGGGATACAATGACTCAAAATTTAATGTCACTGATAAAGGAATAATTCGTTTTACCAGCAAAAGGTAAATAATATTATTTCAATTTGCTTTGTATTTATACCGATTTTGTGGTTTTAAATTAAAATGCAAAAAAATCACAATTTCAAATATAAAATAGTTTGTTCATAATTAAAATTATATTCAAAAATAATATTAATTTTTAAATATTACAGGTATTCTATTGGAGAAAAAAATTTACCGTATTTCACTGAATGGGTCAAACAAGTATTGAATATTGATCTTACTTTAAGAAATGTGCCCAGAGATAAATTTAGTCCTGATGAGTTACCACCAGCTTATGTACCTGTTGGTTAGTAATCATTTAATGTAATAAAAATCTTATTTTGTCTATACTTGATTAATATAATATAATACAATTTTCCAGATTTTTTGAATGCGTTAAAAGAAACTAAAATTGATTATACAATGGATGGTCTAGCCAGACTTTCACGATCTCATGGTCAAACTCTATATGATATTTATTCTCTTCAACAAGGTGAATGTTTTCCACGAATTGCTGACATAATTATTTGGCCTGGTATGAATTTTAATTTTATTTTTAATTGTCTATGTTTATTAAAAAAAAATTGTTTTGGGTTAGTAAGTCACAAAGATGTAGTACAAATAATTGAGTTAGTTAATCAATACAACGTTGTAATTATTCCATTTGGCGGCGGAACTAATGTGTCTGGATCAGTTAGTTGTCCAGTGGAAGAAAAAAGATGTATAGTTACTGTGGATACTTCACAAATGGTAACTATAATTATAACGATAATAAAGCTTATCATTACTGTATTAATCTAAGGCTGATTAGATAGTGTTAGGCAGTATTAGTTATTTTTGTTAGTCAAATAAAAAAAAAAAATTGTTTTTGTAAAGTGTTCACAACCTAAACAAAACACTATTAAACAAAAAAACAGATGTCAAGATATCATCTGATAAAGATTTTGCAATTTGTATGTGATACACATTAAATAATTTAAAAGAAAACAATTATGGATTCACCTATCAAATAAAAAAGCATCACTTATAATTTAATTTTTATCTTTATTATGGAAATTGTATTTAGACGAAAGTAAATTAAAAAATATATACATAAATATAAAATTTGGGAGCTTGTATGTAATAAGTATTAATATACAGCGTGTAATTATTTACAGTTATAATTAACTTTTTTAATATATTAATATTAAAATTACCATCAACGTTCATTCCTTTGCTAATTTCTTCCCATAACTTGTCTTAAACAATTTTATTGTTATGCTCTTGTCATTAAAATCATAAATAGATGGTCTCATTCCCATTAAATTAACCAAGTTTTTTGCATTACAAGATATGTGATAAGTTTATATGAAAAATATTAAAAATAAATACAAATAGACACAAGTTATTTTTTCTTATCTAGTTGTGACCATTGATAAAAGGAAACACTTATTGTGACTAATGAAAAATATGGACACTTCAGACAGTATCAGTTATAAACTAATTGGGTTAAAAGCAAAAATGTATTGTTTTGTCTTTTTCTAATCAGTGTGTGTATGCAATGTAATTTCCTATATTCTATTTTTAGGCTGACTAATACTGTCTAACACAGTTTTACTCTTTTGGTGTGTGGCTGACCTAATATAATACAAATGGGTCTTTAACATTTTTGTTTTCTTAATAGTGTTTGGGAATTGCTAAAAGTATATCATAATAACAATAAAATGTGATTATATTTATATTTTATAGAATCACTTATTATGGTTGGATGAATCAAACTTACTGGTGTGTTTTGAAGCTGGAGTCACAGGTCAAGAGTTAGAAGCTGTCCTAAATAAACGAGGTTATACATGTGGACATGAACCCGATTCATACGAATTTTCTAGGTATTCACAAAAATAGGAAAAGTTTGGATTAATCAATTTTGGAGCGTTTTTATTTATAAGTATATAGTAACATTGAGATTCTGAGTGGAGCGAAGAAGCTTGTGGTTTTACAAAGATATTTATTTTTATTTTATTTTTATTTTCACCTGTGCGTAGCTCTTCTAGTCTGTGGACACGTTTTTTCTTAGTAAATTTGTTCTGATTTTTACATGTAGCAACTTTTCTGAAAGCTCAAGTTGTTTAGATGATACTTAAAAGAAGTTATTTTAAGTTTCTTTTGAGCTTTTAAGGAATTTTAATTTTTGGAGTTTTTACTGTAATTTGGTTATAAAAAGTCTAGAGACTTGAAACTTGGTAATAATACTTATATTGGATTCACCTAGAGGTGGTAAAATCATCGGACCACATTTTTTTTCCTTTTCTTAATAAACGTTTTGAAATCAAATTTAAACAAAAATCGCAAAAAAAATTACGGCACTTTAAATTAAGTTTAAATTAAGTATTACCGAACTACGCGGAATCCTTTTTCATCAAACAATGGTTTATCCTTGCTTATAGATATAAATGAAATAACCTTATGTATCCTTGCCAACTTCTCACCTACAACAGTGGCCACTTCTATCCCATTCCCTATATCAACTCTTTTTTTTACATTGCACTTGACATGTGCTCATTAAACTACATTGTTATTTCTCATGTTTAGTTTTTTCTATTATTTTAATATTAGTCTAGGAGGTTGGGTCGCTACTAGAGCGTCAGGCATGAAGAAAAATGTGTATGGAAATATTGAAGATTTAGTTGTCGATGCAACAATGGTCACTCCTATAGGGATCATTGAAAAAAATTCTAAGGTACCAAGAATGTCTTGTGGTCCAGACTTCCACCAAATTTTTTTAGGATCAGAAGGTTTGTTATTTATTATTCAAAGTGAATTGTTTTGATGTTCAGTGTTTTACTATCTTTTTTTTTTTCAGGTACATTGGGTTTGATCACCAAAGTTGTCTTGAAAATTCGACCTATTCCAGATTGTCGTGTTTATGATTCAGTGGTTTTTCCTAACTTTGAGTCTGGATTAAATTGTATGAGAGAAATTGCTAAACAAGTATGTTTTATTTTATACTTTTGAAGTTTAAAGATTTTAATTAAATAATTATGTTTAAATGGATAGAGGTGTCAACCTGCATCTATAAGGTTAATGGACAATACACAATTCAGATTTGGTCAGGCATTACGCCCAGCTGAAAATATTTTTAAAGAGTTTTTGGATACTATCAAAAAAAGTTACTTGACATATATGCATGGTTTTAATCTGAATTCCGTATGTGTTATGACACTTCTATTTGAAGGTGATTGATTTTATTAATTTTTTTCTGTATAATAGTCTACATACGGGCTGTCCCATAAAGATATACCCCTTGAATATCTCTGAAAGGATGGGGATTACAAATATTTATATTTAAATTAATTTTTTTTAACTAAACAAATTTAAAAAATAACTTTATTATATTATTTGTGGAAAATTTTAAGATCCTGTAGAGTTCATTTTTCTGAAAATTGTATTGTATAACACATTTTTATCCTAGGAATAGTTTCTAAGTAACAGCTGTTCTAAATTCAAACAATTGCAATAGTTATTATAGGTTATTCTTTAGATAACATCAGTTTTCACAAGGATTAGTTGAATTTAGAACAGCTTTTAATTAGCAACTATTCATCAAATATAAATATGTGATGCATTAAAATTTTCCAAAACTAATAAAATAAAGTTATTTTTTAAATTTGTTGAGTTAAAAAAAAAATTAATTCAAATATAAATATTTGTAGTCCTAATCCCTGTGAGTATTATAAAAAAGCATAATTTGATATATTTATTATCTCTGGAAATAATCAAGGGGTTAGCCTTTGTGGGACAGCCTGTATATAATAAATTATTCTAAAACAAACTATTTGTATTAAAAGTTTTTATTATTTTTTTATTTTTAGGAAAAAATCTTGAATTAAATTTACATAAAGATCAAATTGCCAAAATTGCTAAGTCTTTTGGAGGTATGATGGCAGGTGAAAAAAATGGAGAGCGTGGTTATATGTTAACCTTTGTTATAGCTTATATACGTGTAAGAAATAATATATTTTTATTTTATAAGATAAAAAAATATTAATCAAAATAAATTTAGGATCTTGCATTAGAGTACAGAGTTGTAGCTGAATCATTTGAAACATCAGTACCTTGGGATAAAACTCTAATTTTGTGTGACAATGTTAAAAAAACTATAGCAGACCAGTGTATTAGTAAGTGAATTTTGTTGGAAATTTCCATACCTAACTAATTGTTATTGTAATTTTTTTTTAGAATTCAATATTAAATATTATATAATTAGTTGCCGGATTACTCAAACATATGATTCTGGATGTTGTGTGTATTTTTATTTTGGTTTTAATTGGTCTGGACTATCAGATCCTGTATCCACATATTACAAAATTGAAAATAAAGCACGGGCCACTATCTTGGATTCTGGAGGTTCTATATCCCATCATCATGGAGTGGGCAAACTCAGAAAACATTGGTATCAACAAAATACCACCAACACGGTATTATCACTTTACAGTGTAACCAAAAACACGTTGGACCCAAAAAATATATTTGCTAATGGCAATATTATTAGTATTCCATTGTCCAAAATATGAACTGCAATTTAAAATTAATCACATTTAAGTTTATAATTATACATCTAGTGCCCACTACAAGTAGACAATTTAAAAAAAAAAGTAGATTGAATGAATTGCTGAACTGGACTCTTTTTATTGTATTGTAAAATGCACAACTGTTTTGGTACATATGATGAATATAATTTGTAGAAAAAAATAAATTTAGTTCACTTTATTCAAATTAAATTGTTTAATTGTTTATTTGTAATCAATACTTTTTTCTTAAATGCAACAAATAAAATTTGATAATTATACAATGAGTTATATTGCTAATTTACCTATTTGCTAATTATTTAAGACATCTAAAGACTTAAATGCTAAATATATTTTATATTACCTATATATTTCTAAATAAGATAAATTGTATTGTATCTATCTACTATTTAAAAATACCCATAAATGGCATAGTTGAATAATTTTGAATCCAAAAATATTCAAATCATATTATTTACTTAAATGCAAACAAGAATTGTTTGATTTAGTATCCTCTTATTTGGTATTTATATAATAGCTATTGTTATCACTTTAATTGCCAAAGCTAATATTCACCTCTGATTAATATAAATTTAAGAAATAAAAAAAAAAAAAAATAAACTGTATTAAAATGCTGTATTAAGACACTTAAGAAAATATAGTTTTAAGTCAGCTTACAGACCTAATAAATTGTCTAGACTACTCAAGGATGTATTATTTGGTATACTAGGTACTTTCGTTTATTTTTTTAAATCAGCATCTTCCTCCACATCAGTAGTATTTTGTAAAACAGGAATGATATTATTATCAATCCAATTTTCAACTTCCTATCATAGAACGCCTCTGCTTGATAAAATGTATGCAAAATAAAAAATAATATACTTTATTTTTGACTAAATCACTTGAGAAGATATAAATCTAACAGACCTACCTGACGGATAAAAATTTAAACTATCCAATGAAATATTTTTTGGCATATTAACGACTTTTATGCATATTTGTGAAGCAGAATCAATTAAATAAAGATTTTATATGATAAAAAAAATATAAATAACAATATTAATAATTAGTCTCTTGAGTTATTATAATTTTTACTTTATATACAGCAAGAAGTATTTTATTGTTGAATTAAAACTAAAAAATAAATAGCTAAATAAAAATTATTATTATTATTTACTTGAATAAATAATACAATTTCTAATATTGGTTTTGTTTTCACCATTAACTCACATGCTGTAAAGGTATGTCTATTCCTAATAACTAGTGTTTTGTACCACAAATCCATACTATGTGTACTTATTTTTACACTGTAAAATCTTGGAACACATGAGTGTATGTTATTGGTAAAATGAAGCTAAGTGTAACTCAACTGCTATTGCTTTAACAAGTTGTATTATTGACCAACTAACTATATGTTAAAACAAGAATACAAATAAGAATATAATATTATGAAGTTATGAATGCTGTCACCAGAACAAGAATACATTTTTGGAGTTTTCTATTACACATACAATAATCATTGAACAAAAATATCTAACCAAAGGCCACATTCAAATGGAGTGAAATACAGATGTTCATCTTGTAATGTCTTTGGTTAGTTAGTATTACTGTTAATGTATAATATGTTGGGCACCTGTAAGAACACAATAACAGTCTTTAACACACACAAGAAGTCAGTAAGAGTTTTAGATATTTACTGTAATATAAGACATTTGTGTAATTCAAAATCGTATGAGTAATATTTATTTTTACTAAAATTTGATCCTATATCACATTGTGACCAGTAGTGGAACAATAATATTAAAAAAAGATTGTTGTCAGAGGGTACATTATCATACAAAAAATTTAGTAGAACTCAGTTTGGCTTTGGACTTTGCCAATAAGGACATTTTTGAACTGGATTTGAACTGGATGAAGAAGTTAATTATCAGAACACGTCAAGAAAGAAAAAGAACAAGTGTGGGAAGACTGGTGGTCAAATGATAAAGTTATGGAAAATGGTCACGATTTCAGTGGTGTAACAAAGTAACCTACTAAGAGTAAATTACTATGTTATTGTTGAGAATTTCCGGTTCATGTAAAACTTCATTGTAAATATAAGTCTTATTCGTGTGGAAATTGTTCGAGTAGGGCATGTTTAAAACAATTTGTAAAAATAACAATAAATCTGTGAACAATATTGATTTAAATTTAAGCAATTTGTTTAATCTGGAGATGGTTGATATCAATTTTGTTAAACCTTTTTTTTTATTAAATTAAGAATCAATGGTTGATTAGTTGAGTTTCAGATAGATACTGGTGCAGCTGTTACGGTAATGAGTGAGAAGGATTTGTTGATGTTGGAATTGGGGAATATTGGTGAATTGGTAAAAATGGATGTCAGGTTGAAGACATACAACTGTTTAGTTATTATACCAGTTGGTATGTTAAAATGTATAGTTGAATAAAATAGTAAAGTGTTGATTTTGTTTATTTATGTCATTTTAGAGCGAATTTCACCGATTATTGATAGGGATTGGATAAATAAGAGATTTGGCCTGAGTATTTAGATTTATATTTATTAACACATAGATGCGATATGCATATATTTCTCAGTATTTGAGAAAACATTGGGTTATTTCAAATATACAACTTTTGAGTTATGTTTAAAAGATGATGTGCCAGATCAATATTTTGTAAAACTAGGGTTTTATCTTTTTTTTTGAAAGAAAAAGTAAGTAATAAGTTGAATAGGTTAATTAAAGCTGGATTATTGGTAAATGTGGAAGCTAGAGATTGGATCACAATGGTGGTTCTGGTAGTTAAACCAGATGGTTCTTTAAGATTATATGGCAATTATAAAATAATCTTAACTAAGTATTTGGAAAAATATAGATATCCAATACCGAGAGTAGTGGATCTTATGAGTATTTTTCAAGGGGCTGATTATTTTTATACATTTGATTCTTAATGTAGGTCATTCCAAAAGAAATAGTGCCCTTTACATATCTTAATACTCTTTTCAAGTGATTAAAATGATCTTCAGTGGCTTTAGATTGATGATGGCTTAAATAATTAACTGCTCTACTAAGGTCCCGTCTGGTTTGAATCATCACATATATCAAATATCCCACAAGTTCACGATATGGTTTACTTGTTGATCCTTATTCTTCAAATTTTAATTTCTTCTCCATTGGTGTTAATATTGTTTTACATTTATTCATACCAAATTTATGTAGTAGGTTTTCAAGATATTTTGTTTGAAATATTATTATGTCGTTCAATTTTAATTCCTAAGAAAGATCTTGCATCTCCTTGATCTGTTAGCTTGAATTCTTCACTAAGTAGTTTTCTTAAATTGTTTACCTACTTCATTGAATTACCAGCCACCAGCAGCACATCATCTACATACAAGGCACTAGAACTTTCAGTTGAATATTGGAATGAAATTATAGTATATATAGTATCTAATAGATTACCAAATAATATAAGCAAACCTGGGAAATAGAAGGTTGTAAGTTAACTGAGTTGCCATCGTAGCAAAATCTATACATGTTCATTGAAAATCACATACATGCACTTGATATTGTACAGCTAAAAGTTAGTGGTTCTTTTAAAGGTAAAAAAATGATAACTGTACATGTAAGGTACACCTAAAAACTGTAAAAAACTAGTTATTAAGAAAAAATTTTGTTTTAATTGTCTATGGTACTTTCATCATACAAATCAGTGTTCAAGCAGCAAGTTATGTAAAATATGCACATTAAAACATCATATTCTTCTTCATATAGAACCAAACTAGACATCACATCTCACTAATGATAAAATAATGAGTACAAATAAGGCCCAATCAACAATTACATCTATAACATTATTAGCCACAGCCTTAATACATATACATGGTACTAATGGTCTTATAGAAATATGTCATGTTCTATTAGATTCGGGTTCCCAGTCTCACTTCATTTCATCAGCGTTGGCTAAATGTCTACATTTGAAATGCCCGTACCAGAAACATAATGTAACCGGAGGTGGTATCTTTAACACTACAACAGCTGTGCGGAAGATAACATCTTTTGACATCTCATCTTGCATTACATCAATACAGTACAAATTAAATGCTCTGGTAATACTTAAAATTACAATAAACTTGCCTACAAATAAGATAGACATCTCTGAATGGAAACAAAAAATCTACAATAAGCTGACCCAGCATTCTATAAACCAGGTAAAATTGATTTGTTAATTGGTGCTGAGTTGTTCTTTAGGCTGCTAAAGACTAGTTAGTCATGTGAACACAAAAGTTGGCCTATACTCTAGAATACTGAATTGGGATGGATTATTGCTGGCGGTTATGTACTACCACTTAAGGGAACCACTATTGAAAACGTCACTTGTCACACTACAGAAGTTCTATCCACTTTAGACACAGTCATTCAAAACTTTTGGAACATTGAAAAAGTACTTCAAGCTACTCACATGATAAAGAAAGATTTAATTTATGAAGATCATTTCATAAAAGCATATTATAAAGAGAAAAGTGGTCGTTATATTGTACATCTACCGTTCAAAAAGTCACCATCTGCTGTGAACCACTCCTATCAGGTAGCCGTAAGAAAATTTAAAAAGGTTGAATAAGCTATGAGAAGGCAACCAACCTTGTGGATAATGTATAAGGACTTTATGCATAAATATGAACATTCCAACCATATGAGCAACAACCTCAGATTTATCTGCCACACCATCATGTATGCCGTTTGTCCAGTTCTTCAACTAAGCTAAAAGTTGTTTTCGATGGATCAAGTAAGATGGGTAATGGCTGCTATTGTATCTACCTTAGACATACGACAGATGTTCTGGCAAATACAAGTTCACACAAAAGATCAGCAGTTTCAAGGTATTGTATGGAGAGACGATCCATCAAAAGTTGTACAGAGCTATAAACTTACAACTGTGACATATGGATTGATCACTTCACCATATCATGCCTTACGTGTCTTAAAACAATTAGCATTGTTTGAACAAGACAGCTACCCAATAGGAGTTAAGATCTTATTAAATGATTTTTATGTTGATGAAGTCATGACTGGTAGTGACAATCTAAGACAGTGTTCTCAAACTCAAATTATCTACAGGCCATATATTTTTTCAAAAAAAGTTCGAGGGCCAAATTCTAAGTGTCCTCTTTTTTACTTGTACACTAAAAACTGAAGACAAAATGAAGGCGAAGATACATACAAAATCCATTTATCTAAAATATTCTAAATGACTTAATATATTATGAAATTACTTTTATTATAATTACTATTACTAAAATTATTTATAAAAATATAAACAAAGTAGTTGTTTATTTCACTTATTATTACTACAAAATTATAATTGAAAAAATGTGATGAACATCAACTTTAAAAAATAATTAGAATTAAAATCTAAGAATATCTTGATTTGTTTATTTTTATTTTTGTGCTACACTTGAAATTTGACATCTTTTCTTTTGTACCAAGCTGTCTATATTTGCACAAGAATTTCTTGATGCCGAATGTAAAACAGATTGTAATTTTACATTTAAAATTTGATTGCAACTTTTCGATTTGTTTATTTTCACGAGAAAAAATAATTGTTCACATACATAAGAGCTACCGAACATGGATAAAATGTTAGAAAAGTGTTTCTTTAGTTTTGGATAACTGTTTCCAAGATATTTAAAAATTTCTGGAATTTAACAGCTTCAAATTTTGATTTTAAAACAGAACTACATTGCAAATCAACTATCTCGAGTTGTAAATCTTCCCTCACATGCTCTGCATTTATAGAAAATGGATCACTAAAAAGTAGAAAATAATCTTTATAGTTTTGAAAATCTGTAAATCTATTCATAAATTCATTTTTTAGTAATAAAATGTGTGAAATTTATTTTTTACTATCATTACTATTTGTGGATAACTGTTTTAATGTAGGAAAGTGTACCAAGTTATTCAATGAAAGTTGAGTTTCCATAATCGAAGTTTGATGGTAAATTAATGAATTGAGTCATACATATTTGTGATAACTTTTTTTTTCCTTGTAATTGTAGGTTGAGAATATTTAAATGTGTAGTAATATCAACAAGGAAAGCTAAATCTTTAATCCAATCATTATTAGTTAATTCTGAAACAATCTTATTTTTAGATTTCATAAAACAGTCTATTTCTTTTAATAAATTGAAAAATCTTTGTAAAACTGCTCCACGATCTTACCTCACTGTAATATACTAAACAACTATACTGAGCATCCATTTCATCGAGTAGTGTACTAAATTGTTTATGATCCAATGCACGGGATCTAATCCAATTCACTGTTTAAATAACTATATCCATAACATGTTCCATTTAAATTTTTTTTGAACATGAAGATTTTTGTTGGATTATACAATGAAGACTTTAAATCTACACCATAAGTCATAGCTTTTGATTTTAATCGAGAAACCAATCCTGCTTTTACACCTAACATTGCGGGAGCTCCATCAGTAGTAATACTCGAAAAATTATTCCAATCTACTTCTAATTCATTAAGACACTTTTCAACATAGTCATATAAATTACTACCGGTTGTTGTGTCAGTCATAGGAATCAAGTCCAAGAATTCTTCAGTTGCATCAAAATTATCGAAAATTCCGCGAATAAGAATAGCTAACTGGAGATGGTATTGGTAATATCGGTACTTTCATTAACAGCAATAGAAAAATTTAAAAATCGTTTATTTTTTTCATGCAATTGTTGTTTAACATTGTAAGCCATTTCTTCAATTCTCTGAGCAATAGTATTTCCATTTAAACTTATATTCATAAATGCTTGTTTCTTTTCGAGACATATTACTTCCACTGCACTAACTATACATTCTTTAATAAATCACCATCAGTAAAAGGTTTTGACGCACGTGCGATTTTTTCTGATATAACGTAACTACATTTAACAGAATCAATATTTTCTATTCTTATATTATAAAACAATTTTGTTTGAAGCGAGAGTTTTTTTTTAATTCTTCAAATTTTTCTTCGCGTAATTTTCCTACAAATTTATCGTAAATATTACAATAATTTGGGTCATAATGTCTTTTAATGTTGTATCTCTTCATGACAGACACACTTTGTTTACAGATCAAACATATTGGAAGAGAATTAGAATTAGTAAAAAATTATGCATTACTCCATTTTTCTTGAAAAGCCCGTTTTTCTTGGTCAATTTTACGTTTGATCGGTTTGATATGAGACATTTAAACGAACAAACTACGCGTATAAACTTAAATTTAAAATTACACTTGAATGGCAACTAGTTACTAACAAAACAACATTGGTCACAGTCAAACTGTTATCCACTATTACTGCACTTATGCCGAAATACAAATTATATTTATCTTTGTAGATTAGATTTACCACATTTCAAATACTTTATCGAGTATATTGGACTTTATGAATGATTAATGTAAAAATAAAACATAGACGTCAGATAATATTCTATGTATGTCGATGCCTAAAATAAAATTAACGTTTTTCCAATTTTTTCATATATTTTTGTTCAAAATATATCTTTATTGCGGACCACATGGCAAAGGTACGTGGGCTACATGTGGCTCATGGGCAGTATGTTTAAGACCACTGATCTAAGGGAAGTATCACAGTAAATGGGCAAGCAACTATCATGAAACCTTACAACACATACTCCATGAACACCAAATTAAAAAAATTTCGTTTAAAGAAGATATAGATTCCACAATAAAAATATTGAGCATCAATTGGAACACAGCGAATGACACGTTTACATTTAAGGTAAAAACAATGCAAGTTATTTCTCATCTAACAAAAAAGGAATTATTATCCAAAATTTCAATTTTGGAATTTTGATCCTTGTGGTTGACTTAGTAATTGTTTTGTTAAATTAATAATGCAGCACTTGTGACAAGAGCGCTTAGAGTGGTACATTCCCACATTCCCCAACATTTATTTAATGCCTGGAAAATACATATAATGTCATTTAATTATTTAAACACATTTGAATTACCACAACATATAATGAATTCATCAGAGAACGGTGTATTTTTACTGCACGGTTTCAGTGATAGCTCTAAAAAAGCTTATACCGCTGTTGTCTATATCGTTTCCACTCAAGAACATTCAACACTCATGTTGCTGACAGCAAAAACTCGAGTTACACTAATTAAGAAAATGACCATTCCAAGGTTGGAATTATGCGGTGCGTTACTACTTGCTGAGCTTACTAACGCAATCAATTAACATTAACATACAATCACTAAACTTGTGGACAGATTTAATTGTTACATTGAATTGGTAGCGATCCAGCTAAATGATTGACATTTATCTCAAATAGAGGAATCCAAGATACAAAACTTGACGCCATCAACTGTTTGGCGATACATTTCATCTGCGACAGACGTTGCCTCAAGAGGTTCGAGCGGCCAAGAGCTTACAACTAATCTATTATGGTAAAACGGTTCCAGATGGCTTACTACTCCTGAAGAGTGGTCAGTAACTGAATATTATGAAAGTTCTACTTTTAAAATTGAAAGAAAGAACTGTGCAATGCAGCATGCTGTTAAGAGGACGCCACACTGGACATTATCAGCAATAAAAACACTTCCATGCAAAACAGAGAAAACGGCATTAAAAAGTGGTTTTAGAGTAAAAATACCTATTTTAAAATTTATAGATAACATTATTATTTATTGTTCATTATATATTATTTGATTTGGCATTTGAAAAATTAATATTCTAAAACATGCACCCAAATCGCTGTGGTACGAGAATCGACGTTCAGGAGAATGTCGAAAACTGCGAAAAACAATTGGTGCTGCTCTAAATGCAAACTTAATAGCGATTCTAAGTAAAAAATACTAAAAAAGAATACTATGGAAGATAAATAGGCACATATGTTAACTAATGAATCTTTTAATAGCCTAACGTACTCGGTCAATTGTATGTGTTTTATTAGTAATTAATCAAAATAATAAATAAATTAATAATTAATAATTAATAATTAATAGTCTAACGTACTCGGTCAATTTTATGAGTTTTATTAGTAATTAATCAAAATAATATATTTAGGATTTGTCTAAACAAATTTACTCTACAAAGATCTACAAACAGTAACTATAAAGAATTTGATGTACTACCTATAAGGTTTTTATAAAATAAAATTGATATCATGTATTTGGTTAAGAAATTAAATTTAAATAACGATCAAAAGGAGTTAAGCAACAAAAGGGAAATGAAAAAATATGATTTGACTGTTAATTATGCGAATACTTCATTCGGTCAGCATTTTGTAGACTATCAGGGTCCAGTTTCTTTCAACTCTATGCCTATTACTTCAAAAAAAATACTTAATAGTGAAATTGTAAATATTAAAGATCTAACATGCAAATAAATATTCTTTTAATTAGACAAGGATTTAAGATAATATAAACCAATTCTATTTCATTATTTTTATTTATTATACCTATACCTATGGCACATATTAAGAATTTTTCTAAAGATGCCCTAGCACACATATCACATCATTTAGATTCCAAGATTAGCCAGGAAGCTATTGGATTTATGAAGCTGTTTAATATTTTTCTTTATTCTTTGTTCTTGTTCTAGACTGTGGATACATATTTTCCTAGTAAACTTGCTCCGATGTATTAATCTAGCATCTTTTCCGAAAGCTCAGGTTGTCTAGATGGTACTTTAGAGAAGTCATTTTTTTAATTTTCGACGTCATTTTTTAAAAAAGAGCACAAAGTGGGAAAAAACGTACAATTTTATGATTTTATTATTTTATAAAAACACAAGCGACGTCTTTTACCAGAAAAAAAAATGATTTAATCGAAAAATTACACTTTTTTTTAGGGAGGGCGGGTGATCGAGACCCCCCGAAAATACGCCACTAATTACAGATATATATTAAATTACCTATAAAAGTGGCTGCATCCGTCCCCATTAACCTAGCACAACTTTTTTTATTTTAATGTATGACAATGTTTATACATTTTGATCAGTTCTCTCCGAAATAAAATTCTTGATACTCACCTACGTACACTGTAGATAATTTTTTAGACTTAACAGAAATGCTTGAATATTTGATAGAAGGTTCTATATTAATTGTACTCGGTGATCAAACATTTTAGTTCAATGCAGTATTTTTTTAAATTTTTTTTCATAAGAATAAATATCAAATTCAAAATAAAAATTAAATTGGAAAAATATGGAAAAAACGTAGAAAAGCAGGAAAATAGGTACAATATTATACAAATATTATTAAAGAAAATATATAATGCATATGAAGTTATTTTACTAAAATATGATACATATATTATTAACAAAGCAACACTATCAACCGAGTTCCGCTCAGAATCTTTTTTTGGTTAGCATTGGTTTATTGTTGCGTACAGATATACATTAAATTTCCCCTCTACCTCCCCTACTTCTCACCTAGAACATTGGCCCATCACGCGCGATGTAAGTTCTTCTTTTTTATTATATTCTCTTAACTGTAATTCTATAACAATAATAGTTGATAATTATAATCAAATACAAATTTATTATGTAAACAAAATAATAAAATATTAAATCAGTAATTTTATTCTAAAAGTTTTTTCATTCTTTGATTTGGCATTTTAAAAATTGATATTCCAAATATGCACCCAAATCGCTGTGTTATATAGAGTTTAATATTACACTAATATTACTCCGTTTTAACCTGTTCTAAAATAATTATTTGAAGAAAAAAAAATATAATATTGAAATATATTTCTTTACGTTGTCATTCGATTTAATTTATTAGTATTATTAGTCTTTCATTGACAATGAATCACCGGATGCTAGCAATATTTGATGAAATTTGTTTAAAAACGATAATATTATATTATTGTTTGCCGCAAGATAGTGTAATACCAAAAATCAAGGCCATTTAAAAAGTATTCATAACCTTAAGATAAGAGAAATTATCACATTGAGTATTTACTATTTGTATGATTCATTTATATAAAGATTGTCGATAATGTAATTCATTAGAAAAAATATGGTTTATAATATTAGTTATATAATAATCAGACTAAAATAGTCCAAATACTTTTTGGGGGATGCTTAATATCGGAATATTTATTTAGTATACTTACCATTTACTTGATAAGAATTTTATTGTCGAGGAATGACTTTGATGAATTAAAGGATACTAGGCCCCCAAGACCATAGGCGCACATTAGGTGTAAATTTGAGGGGTTCTAGAATAATTTATGGTGAAATATCCGTGGGTGCTTTACCCCAACAATCCCCTTACACTACAATAAACTACATTACAATAATTTAAAATTTGTATGTAACTTAAAACTTCAATTAATTACACTTAAATACAGGTTTATTCACTAAGCGTGATCGCCCTTTTTGTTTGGTTAAATTTTGCATGTAAGTATTCTAATTCTGTTTCTTGAAATTTTGAAATGTAGTTATAGTCGATATTTTTGAATACTTAGATTTTAATTTATAGAGCGTTTTATGAGTGCCCCGTTACTCTCCTCCTACCGAAACTTGAAAGTAAAAATATATCTCGTAAACGGGTTGATGGAAACCAAAATTGTTTACACCAAAATGTATTTAAAGTAATACTCCATCTATTTATAGAATTTTAAACTCAGGTCCTTATTTTAAAAACCAAAGTGGGCAATACCACAGGATACACCTTTAATGTTCACCTGTTTTACATTTTAACATTTGTTATACGTCCCATAGGTTGAAGAATTTAATTAAATAAATCCCAGAATGAGTGGAAATCTCGTTTTCAGATCATGGGCCACCCGGCACAACTTTTATTCAACCATGTGGTACATATAGATAAAAATGGCCAGTAAATAATCTGCTTATATTCCGTAGAATCTTTCAGAATCGTCTAGAAAAATCGGTGCTGCATACACCATATGAACACATCTGCCACTGATTGTTCGGTTGCATGCAATACAGAAAAACCAATTCGATCCATAATAGATGTATTTTTTTATTTTTTTACGAGATTTCAATAGGGCGGAAATTTCAACTTCTGCAGACAATAAAATGATCATTTATCGTTAATGGTGGGTCACGTATAGTCCGTAGAATTATTAAATGGCGACGCGTCAAAGGTGACGAGGGTCGATGGGTATTTGGGACACGTCCGTATACAGCGATATCACCATTATATATCATTCTATTTTATGCATTTATACGTAAACTCGAAGAAAATAATAACAGAGACGATTTTTTCTTTAACATATTTACGACCTTATAGAACTGGGGTGGCCAACGAAGAGAGACTCGCGAGCCGCCCAATACATTAATAATTATGGAAGAGCCAAAATGAAAAAAAAGGTTACATCAATATAATATTAATAATAAATAAGATAAGATATAAAATATAATAAAATGTATAGAATGCGAAACAATATAATAACGTACAATAATGTCATAATAACAATTTTTCTCTGAGGAAATTTGACTTAGAAGGTTCTTTAAGGAGGACGTTTTTCGATTTTCTATAGATCTTTCTCGGTAAATGTGAAAAACTGAGAAAAAGTAGGAAAACTGGGGGAATCGGTACAACATTAAATAAATATTATTAAAGAAAATATATAGAGCCTATTTAATTATTTTACTATTATATAGCATATTTTTTGTTGACAAAACATCACTTTCAACTAAACTCCGTTCAGAATCTTTTATTCATTAGCAATGGTTTATCGTTGTTTACAATACATTAAATTACCTATAACCATGACTGCTTCCGTCCCTGTTATCCTAGAACGTATTTTTTTTGTTTTGAACATATGTATATTTCCGATTTAAGGACGATGGTGAATTCAGAATTGATTGGACTGACCTAGTTTCGAAATTATAGCTTTTTGAAGTTTGGATAATATGCAGATAATATATATTTTGTTATTATAACTGTATATTGTTAAATTTAAATTACGTCGGCCGTATATAGTCTACTGGTACTACTAATTGCAAGTTCAAACCCGTGTTCCTAAAATAAATGTTTGCATTTTGCAATTTTTAATGTTGTCACACAAACAAAGCCATTTTAGATGTACCTAAAGAGAATAAATGGGAAAAACCAGAAAAAACCGGAAAATAAATACAATATTTAACAAATATTTTTAAAGAAAATATGTAATGCATAATATGTTATTATTTTACCAGAATATAACTTATATTATATTTTTAATAAAGCACTACTATTACCCGAACTCTGCTCAGAATCATTGTTCGTTAGCATTGGTTAATCATTATATATAGATATACAATTAATTTCTGCTCTACCTTCCTAACTTCTCATCTACAACAGTGGCTTTATGGTTTATGTTTGTACCAGAAATATAGCTCCAATACAAAAATAACTGAAGATGTTTATTTGTTGTATTTTTAATCTATTTGGTGGGTTAGAATGTAATTTGTTGACTTTCCAAGGAGTTTTCATAGCCATTGGGAAAATCGGTAAAATTGAATAAAGAGTGGGAATCGTAAATATATCGGCCTTTCAAAACATTTCATCAAAATTTGCTTCGTTCCAATTCGTTTTAATTTTTGTGAACAATAGTTTCGTTGCTTATAGATATAAATTAATCCTACATTCCAAACATTCCACCTACAATAGTGGTATACCCGTTCTCAGTATTAGCTCTTTTGTTTTATTTTTTATTTCATAAATTATTATTTTTTTTTAATGAATATACAAAGAATTCTTGATTAAAATTGTTAATATGGCCATTGTGATTTTAAAATAAATCATCGGGTCCTAATTACTTTGGCATCATTTTAGGTAGTTAGGTTCCTAAGTTTCGAGCGAATTATACGGAATTCGTTATGTTATTAAAAATACGTTTCGAATTTATTATCTTTAACATAATGTTTCTGTAAGAATGTTTCGGTGTTTTATACTTGTCTCGTGACGTATAGTATAAAAGAATTAATGCGTTCTTATCGTTCAAATATTTGGAAAACATATGTACTTTGTTCTGTATATCCCCATTATATTTTAGAATACCAATGAAAAAATAAGAAATACAAACATTTAATGGATAAATTATCAGCCAACGTTGTGACCATTACTGTATCAATATTATTTGAATGTGTTTTAGGTCCTTGAAATGTTCACCGTTTTAATGAGCACACAGACGACCGAGTGTAGTCGAAGATAACCGAATAATCGTTCATCGGTGTTTAATACTATTATTCTCATCACAGTCTTTTGATAGTCTTCTTCTGATCGACAAAACTGCACTTATTCAGATTTATATTAAATCATTATTTGAACAAAATTTATTAAAATGAACGTCGTTATTTTTTCGTTTTACTATTGTGCTGTTGGTGTGCTACTGCAGGGGATTGTTGGTAAAAATAACATTACCACTAATACTGCTCTCGGTGGTATCTCGGTTTCGTCGTGGTACATTCCTCATGAAGGTAAGTAAAACTATAATTTGTGGCCTTTACAATTAATTTAAACGATTTTTGCGACATTTATATATTAATTTATCATTAATAAAACTGCTAAAGGTATTTTTAATTCCTCGGTAAAACAAATTTTTCTACAGTATTTACATTTGTTTCGATTAGCTGATCGTTTTTTTACTTTACCTAAATCAATGGATTATAGGTAAACTTAAAGTCATATCAACTTTTATAAATTTTCTAGTCAACATACATCTAGTTTACAAAAAAAAAATTGTTTTAGAAATGTTCTTTTTCATTGGGCTGAGTTTTGTACTTAGTTTTAAAATTTAAGAATATATAATATACGATATGTATAAATCCAGTTCTCTTACTTTCAGAGCAACACTCGTACCGACATTGGTTGATTTAGAAATTCTAAAGTATTGATTTATGAAATATAAGGTAAAGGCAGTTTTCCTCTATATTCAGCCTCCTTAATGTAATAAATAAAAAATGGCTTCATCGTTATTTTCTTAATTCAAATATACTGTATTACATTTTTTTTTTATGAAAAATTGTGTTTAGTAATTTTGGTTGTATTAAAGAAAATTCATTAAAATCAGTACAGGAATATTTTTTAAATTATTGTTTATAATCTCAATTGCGTCGATAGTATAAATAACAAAGCTACCTAAATTATAATTAAAAATAACGTCAATATTTACCGCACCACACGGTGTTACAGTTTTCTTTGTTTTTAATTTGTGTAACATATGTTTTCTACCAGAAATATTGTTCTAATAAAAAAATAACAAGAATTAGATTTTGTGTCTATAGCCACTAAGAGAGAAAGTCGTTTTTTGATTTATATTATAGTATTTTTCATAATAATTAGGAAAATTCAAAAAAGATGATAAATACAATTTTTTTCAAAATACGGCGCAAAGATATATGTAATTATTTTAAATGTATTCGGATTATGTTTTCAACGACAAATATTACTCAAATAGAAAAACCACAAGATACCTTTTTTGTTGCATATTTAAGCTAGTTAAATTTTAATATCAAATTTTGACGAAAATTGTTTGAATAAAAAATTATGTGAAACAAAACTAATCTGTCAATTTTCGTTTTAAACATAAGTATAATACCGTTTTAAGAACGATTGTAAGTTAGAATTGAGCGGAATGACTAAGTTTCGAAATTATAGCTTTTTGAAATTCTGATATTATGTGGGTATTACATGTTAAATAACTCTATATTGTCTTTCTTAAAGAATGTTTGTCGTAGTATAATGGTTATATATACCTTTTGTCATCCTAGGGATCGCAAGTTCAAACTCAAGTTTCGAAATAATATTTGCATTTTTTTCCCTCTTATCTAAACAAGAAAAAGAATGAATTTTGATTCTACCTAGAGTCCCAAGCTATCGCTTGCTCGGACTATTTTAATCGCAAAATACCCCACGGTATTTTGTTGTGCAAACTTTTTTTACCAGAAATCTTGCTCCGATGTATCAAGTTTAACTTATTTTCTAAAAAAAATGTTTATCTACATGATACTTAATGGAGGTAATTTTTTAATTATTCCAGCGATTTTAAATATCTGCGAAAAACCGGCATAAATGTCGAAAAAACGAAAAATGTATGAAATGTAGGTACTAGGAAAAAACAATTTTCGATTTTCTAAGGAGTTTTCTAGACAAATATAAAAAACCGAAAAAAAAATGGAAGAAAAACTGGAAAATGTACTAAATATAGACATTAGTTGAAAAAATATTAGCCTACAGCCTGTTTTTTTTCTATGAAAATATGTTTTACCTAAAATTGCTGTACTTAAATATTAATGTTACACGTGCAAAATTTCCTTGATTTAACCCTCTGACGCTTGCATTAGGTACATTTTTGTATGTCATGCATGTATACTGCAAATAATTCAATGCTTCATTTTTCAATTATTAGTATTATTTAATATTAATCATAATAATAATTTAAAAAAAAATTAATATTCATTCTGGCCAAAGTTACCAAAATTTGTTAACTAACGACAAGGAGTTATCAAACTATGCGAGTTACTTTATTAGACTATAATTTATGAATAATGGCAATTATAACACATGCAGTAATACCACTTTAAGTTATAACAATGCTAAATAATAACATTTACAATAATAATCAATGATAATATTAAGATTATATTGGATTTGATCACTGAGGTAGATAGCAATATATTAATATTACTAACAATTACTTACAATTATTACGAACATTGAACTATTTTATAAAATTGTAAAATATAATTCAATAATTACTAAAGTATATTGTTATATATTTCAGTAGATTTGAAAAACAATTTTAAGACCATTCATTTTGGCCAAATAACCAAACAATAAAATTATCATAACTTTGGTGACATTGTACATTTTTGTAATATATTGATATTCCTTTAGTCATCAGTCATCACGGATTATTTTTTTATGATGGTTTTTTCAAATATTATTTAACTACAAAGTATCGCTGATATAAAGTTACGACGCATGTAAGTGCCTGTAACATTATATGGATGTTGTATGCATTAAAAGAATATTCGAATTATAGCTGTATCATACTATATATATATGTTGTTTATTTGATTTAACAGGATTGATAAAAAATAATAAAACCCCGGAAATATGCTACGACCATAACTCCAAACCATTAGGTAAGTGTTATAAGCGATAAGGTATAATAATATAATATTATAATTTGGTAATGAGGGTATCGTTATTCACTGTAAATTAATGTAAGCTAGATTATACGAGAGAATGGGTGGGATGTATCCTACCATTAAGTCATTTTTCTTATATAATTAAAATAATATACAGAGTAATTTTTTAAGCATATCCATTAGTGCCTACCCAATTTAATACATTCTGATTCTGATATTTGGAATTTGTAAATGTAATGGAAGACATATTTTCTAACACTTAGATTTTTCAAAACGTTTAAGGATTATCCTATGACTATTCCAACTTAAGTTTTTCTAATGAAAACCTAAATGTTTTTATGTAAATTGCCAACCAGGTGATTTGTCTAAAAATTTTGACATATTTTAATTGAAATTTGAACGTAAAATATCTGAGTTATTCTACTTTAAGTATTACAGAATAATGACTGCATGATTCAAAACAAGAAATTATTTATACTACACATGAAACAATAGGTATCCAGTCCCTGTAAAATACTATTATCCTAAGTATTTAAAGCAAAAAAAGTCAGAAACATTTCATTCAAATTTTAATTATAATACGTCAAAATTTTGAAAAAAAAAAATATTAGTTTGTATAAAATTATGTGGATTCTCATTCTAAAAACCAATGTTGTTATCACCACAAGATACTCCTTAAAATTATACTATTTTGTGAAAAATCTAAGTATTCAAAAATATCGTAGTTCACTACACTAAAAAATTCCAAAATACATAATTTAAGTTTATGCATAATTCATTCATACAAATAGGGTGAGCATGGTTAAAAATCACTCTGTATATTATATTATATCTTCATAAGTATAAAAAAAAATTATGTTAATAATAATATTTCTTAAAAAGTATCCTTTTTCCCTACCCCATGATAAAATCATTTGACCACCACTGGTATGATTAAAATTGGAATGTGACCTATGCCTTCCTTTTTATTTTTTTATTTAACGATTTACCTTCATTCTCCTCAACATCAAAGGAGGGAATAATAATATATTTATATTTATTACGTAGTTAATAGGAAATTTATTAGATATAATAGCATATCTATATACCTATATAAACATCAAATTTTTCTCGCAGGTCTTTGCATTACATGGTCAGAATGCATTAACAATAACCAAGGCGTTCCTACGGACATTATATGCCCAGATAAATATTCTATATGCTGTATCTGTAAGTAAATGTATTTTTAATTTTGATCAAATTATTATTTGTTATTTTTTTATTAAAAATTATCTTGGTACCTACTTCGGAATGTATTATATAATATGATTTTTTCTTTCCGGCATTGTTTATGTTTTTTTTTTTTTATCGTATCCCTGAGATGACCACCACAAGAAGTCATGGAATCAAATTAATTTTCTAGCTTCTAGTAATCTATTATTGTTAGTAACTGTGAACAAAAATGAATAAAACTATTTTTGAATCTAACCATGGTAATTACACACAAAAACTTGATCTGTATTTTGTGGTATAGCCAGGATTACTCAACGGGGGGGGGCAATAAAAAAAACCTCATACAAAATTACTTTGTATTGTTTTCACTTATTTGTATACTTAAATTATTTATTATTAATGAGTTACATAATTCTTATGGTTTATAACATAATATTATTATTGTGTCCAATCTGTAACGTTCATTTTCCTAAGAGATTTTTTTAATAAAAGGATTCAGTATTTCTTTTTCGATAGTTCATATTCTAATTCGCCTTTATCTATTGTTAATAATGCCAAACCATTCAACCTTTCTTCATTCATTGTAGCTTGTAAGTATATTTTTAGTATTTTTAAAACAGAAAATGTAAGTTCCGGGGTAGTGTTACAGGGAGAATAGCAAATAAATGAAGAATCTTCTTCATATTTGGAAAAAGCTTTGTGCAGTGTTGAATTTTTTTCTAAAGTAGTCTCTAATAAATATTCTTTCAATTGCTATTACTTTCTCCATATGAATAACTCTGCTTTCAAATATAAATTCATACTAATCAAAAAGTAATGTTCGTAAATAGGAGCATCAGCTAAGGTTGATTGGATGTCATAATGTGTCAAATTAGATGATATGAGTCCTTCTAGGGGGGCATAATTATTTCTAGTATTTTATCAAATATTGAACGTAATTGAGTAGTTAAATTATCAAAAATGGTATAAATATTTCAATTTTATAATATTCCTCTGCGTCTTTGGCATGTGCATATGTACTGTAAGTACATATATTGTTTCGAGAAGTTTTTCTCCCACAAGTTCGAGGAATATGTATTTCAACGTTTAGTTCAGAAGCTATTACGGTAAAATTTGACATTATTTCTTTAAAACATTTTTCAGCATCTGATCGAATGGCTTCAAAAGGTTTTCAAATAATCATTACATTTTTTAAAGGTTTGGATAAGTCTGTTTGCTTTGTAGCACTCACATATACCGATGCTTTGGTTAAGGTTTCAGGATTTGTATCATATTTTTCAAGATGTTCTAGAGTAGCAATTATATAAATATAAAGTTCTTTGAAAGTAATAAATGAATCATGTCAATCGATCCATCGTGTTTTACTAAGTTTTTTCAATTTTATTTTTTTACCACTTTTATTGGAATTACTATTTTTATCAAAACCACTGTTTTCGTGTAATTTGGATATAATTTAATATTAATTACATATTATCATATAAATAATACAATATACTTATCTATGGATATTGGATGTACTGATATAATATCAATAAAAAAAAAAACTACACCCGATGGCATGACCCTTCTGCTCCCCCCTGGCTACGCCACTGTCTGTATTTTAAGCGAACTCTTATTTTTTTTTCACTGATGGCAAGTTAACTGATCTAAATACTGCAATATATAGGTATTAGCTGTGCCTATAGGGTTACTATCTTTTAAAAAAGGCAGACCCGAAGACAGGCCGACAAGCAAAAAAAAGTCATTAGCAAATGATACCATGCCATATCGTATTCTTATCCATTGTATCTTATTTTTGGCTTTTGAAAATTATTGTTCTCGTTACTTATCGACAAATTATATACCTATAATTATATAAATTGTACTAATTTTAAGATGCTCGGAAAATGCACGATGCTCGGATGCACGAAAAATTACTTTTATTATGTATATTTTATCTAGATTCTAGATAATAAATTGTTATTTACCTATTTTATCTTTGTCAAGATATTATTAGGTATATTACTATTATACTATAAATTATGTCTTATCATTATCTAAATATTTTTAAATTAGCATTTTATTATGATTTCTATAGTTAACAAATACGAATGTGACTCATGGACGAAGGGAAACTCCATGCACATTACCAGCCCGAGATATCCTCAGCCGTTTTATGACTTAGGTTTTTCCGAGATATTTCTCCAAAAAGTAACGGTTGTCCGGCTGTTACGTCTGGATTTTATAGATTTTAAAATGGTAAGTGTCGGAATAGGTTAAACGATTTTAACGATAATGATATAATAAAGTAGATATCTACCAAATTGATATTTACGTCCGTACATCATCAATAATAATTAATAAGTAATATAAGAAATACCTGGGCTTTTCCATTCAAATTTTATTTCCGCATAGCTATGGTTCCAAATTATTAATTTTGAAAATTCGGGGTTCTAAAAACATATCCTATACTAGCTGTAATATTTTTGTAATTTGTACATAGGCACTTCCGAACAGTGACACTGGGGTATGCGAGACAGACAGGATGGTTATTACCAATGGAGACATCCAGTATGTTATGTGTGGTCCCTACACTAACCAACACTGTAAGTGAATAAATATTTATGATCCAGGTATATAGATATATAATTTTAATAACTTTAAGTGCATATTATACAACGGTCTAAGTTAGTTTATTATTTAATTGAATATTTTAGACAATAGTTTAATTGTTAAATTTTAATTTTCTCCAGACCTCGAAATGAACGAATTCAAATATTGTTATGCTATCAACTCGATCACCAATATTTTGTTATATTGCTAGTTATAAATCCAGATGAATAAGATTTTACTATAAGATCAACTTGAAATTATTTAAATATTACAAATGTTCATACCCAATATAATATTTAATAAAATCACTGAAATTAAGTTTATTTAGTAAAAATTAATATATAAAAGGAGTCATCATTTAATTTATAAATGAACTTGACCTAAGCAAGTTCATCAAAGAAAATGAATAATATTTCAATTATATGCTTGTGTCCTTTAGTTCATGAATGAGATCATATTTTAAACGAACTTTTTAATAATTTTATCACTTTCACAGTTTATTATTATGCAAATGACAGTGCCAGTGACATCATTAAAGTCCAATTCATAACAAGCGAGTCGAACCTAACCCGAGCGTGGAAAATTAAAGTTGGTCCAGAATCCGTTTCCATCTATGTTGTTTCTAAAACTACCTAATTTATTTTCTAGATAACTGAATGGCCCGCTCAACCGTACCCGAAGGGTTGTACGCAGTATTTTAATGAAAGTGTAGGTACCTTTTACACGACAGATTATATGACAAACGGACGACAACTGGTGAATCAGAACTATACAGTATGCATTAAACGTGAACTAAGTAAGCCACCTAAATTCGTAATAATAGAAATAAATAATAATCAATTATTATTATAATTGTTTTCGTCGGTGGTTTTATTCTATAGACAAATGCTGGATCTCATACTCGCCATGTTATGACCAATCTTTCAAAGTTATTCGGGAGATTAATCTTTTAAAAAGTGAGTGTATATATAATAAATAATATTATGAACTTAAAAAGTTTCTTGATTCCATTTGCTCCGTTGGCCGCATTAATACGAATAAAACATTTTATCACATCATCAAATCGGTCAGATTTCTATTTTTTTTTTTTTTTTTTTTTTATTGGCCAATAGGACAAAAACATAAAACCATAATATTATGAATTTAATAAAGTCTGACATGATCCATAAATGCAAAATTTAGTTAGAATACAAAAGTAAACAAATTTTGAATGATTCTTTTCCAAATTAAAATTGTATTTTAGATTCTAAGCAAAGTAATAATTATATTAGCCATACTATGATGTAACATTTTTCTGTCTGTGACCAACTTTTCGACCAGAACTCTTATTCGAATCACCAACAACAGGAAACATTTCTGGTAGCAAACTTTGCTTAGTTGGTGTGATGAGGTCATTTTTTGATTTTTATTGTAGTTATCCTAATAATTTAAAACTGTTACCGAATAGGATAATAGTCAATTTTAAAAAAATTCTGACGTTTTTAAAGTTGTTAAAATATATTAAAATTATATTTTAAATTTTTACTATTCTCAAAATGTTGAAATTGAGAGTGCCATTAAAATTACGGAGAGTACTTTTAGATGCATTGGAATAAACAGTGTATTTTTTAAGAAATTTTTACTGGGCGACAAAATAATGTTTTCTCAAAATAGATAGTCAATTATAGTAGGTAATAATTTAATGTTCACCCCTCATAATTATTAAAAATAAATCTTAATGCTAGAAGTAAATGGTAGATAGGTAAAAGTTATAAAAAGTCATAATACATTATATTAAATTATATAATCTAATTTTTTTATAATATGGTCACTTGTTTTTTCTATAAATTGAAAAAATATTACAAAATTATGATTAGACTTAAAAATATTATATTCTATTTTTTAAAAAAACTTTTTTATGAATGAACGATTTTTATAAGTTTCTTGGTCTGGAAGATTGTAACGTCGTTCCTTTGTTTTTAAAAACTTATCCACTGCTCGTCTAAGATCAAAATTTGCTGTTCCAATGCTGTTTAGAGCAATATACATTCTGATATTAGTTACATCCCTTGAATAGCAAGGCTGTTTATTCGTTTTTAATATAGTGTGGCAGGATACAGCACGTTCTGGTCCACAACTATGTGGTGTTATTGTGGCATATGCTTGTACCACTTTTGTAAAAAATGTCGTTGAGCTGCTTATTTTTAAATAATAATACAATTTTCCTGTTGGGTCTGTAATGTTAATAGGACACAGAAGTTTATCTGTTGCATATAAACCAATAACTTCGTCACAAAA